CTAAACGAAAAAAACGCAAATAAGAGAAAGCTTTCACACACATATAAAAAATGAACTAGTCTAATCCGCCAGTATAAACTCTGTGCTATACGTAGCCGGGTCAGGCGCACACTTTAAGCGGACAGAAATAGTTATAAAATATCAGTAAAATGTGTTCTATTTCTGCGATCCAAGTATGACGTGATTATATAGCGACATTTCCCAGGCATCAATTTTAAGGCATCAATGACGTCATTGATACATAACAATGGCGGCATCCGCAGCGATCCAGATATGGGTACTTTGAACTTGAATTATATGTTAGTTCAAACACGATATGTCCCATGAGTGAGCTGAAGTGATAGATGATGGTTATAAGTAGCCAGTGTGTAAATTAGAACATGAAACTTCGCATTCCCTTTAAGTTACATATATGCAGTCCCTAATCAATTCCATTGCAATTAACATGAATTGATCATATAGTCTCTTTATTATGTATCACTATGTCATCTCATAACTGGAGATACATTAACTGTCCTACCTTGCAAAATTTCTCAAATAGTTCATACAATTTCTTTGCTTTTGGGTGAATTTTCATGATCACTGTGTGTAGAGATTGAGTTGATACTTTAGTTATATTGATAAGATCTATACAACCCTTTTGCGTAATTTTGGGCTAATTTATACTCTGGAAATATATAATTGATGATAGGTAACTTTTTTGTAAGGGTTCCATTACCACAGGTGTGCTTACTACATCATCAGAATATATGTCAGCTGTGGCTTCATCAAGTTGCGTGTAATTCACTAAAAACATGGTAACAGTCATGATTTTAATTGGAAAATACAATGAAAAATAGTGGTTTAAATGGGAAATAAGTTACCTAGACATGCAGTGAACACTCTCAATTGTATGAAAATGCAAACATCTTGTGAATTTTATTCAAATTTTTAAGAGAAAATTAGAGATAACATGAATTTCAAGTTGGAGACATTTAGGATCATATTTTACGGAGAGCAGGTGAGGTTACATGTAAAACCATATAAGAATATATATATATAATATATATTTTTTAAAATTAAAATCAATGTAACATATTTACAGGTTGTAGTGGCTATGACCCCCAAGAGGGAGTATTAGGTGCCACATAATGGTATTTACAATGATTTGTGAAATATTATGAGAAGTGTTCTTGTAATTGTCGTAAAGTATGATATTGTACATAATATGCTTGCATGTTATATAAGTAAAAGATAAGGTAAATCCATCCTGAGTTACCTCAGGTGTTTTAAGTGGAAGTAGATGATATTTTATCCTGTAAATAATACTGATCTTTCTGTACCTTTCTGTTCCTTATATAACTATAAGAAAGGCATGTATCATGACACTTGAGAATCGATAAAAGATATAGCTATATATATATGATAACAAAGCTATACTCTGGGGAAAAAAACAAGAAATATTTATTCTTATGATAGTAGTTTTTCTTTACTGTAGTACGATAGGTTTCCTTACCATTGTAGCCTTTCAGTATGCAAGGGTACCATGTTTAAACATAAACCATGATACCATGGTATGCCATGGTTTACCATGGTCTATCATGATTGGCCATGAAATTACCATCAACTCTGACCATGGTGGCAATGATGTTTTTTTTGGTCAATTTTTGACCATGGTATACCATGGTATATCATGTTATACCATGTTTCATGGTATTTCATGTTCAAAGTTAACCATCAAATGCCATGGTATTATCATGGTATTTCATTGCCATGTTCCTGACCATCATTTGCCATGGTATTACCATGGTATATCATGGTTGATTGCATTTCATGGCATTTCATTGTAAGGTATGACAATCAAATACCATGGTATTTCAATGCCATGTTCCTGACTATAATTTATCATGGTATATCATGGTTGATGGCATTTCATTATAAGATGTGACAATCAAATACCATGGTCATACCATGGTATTTCATTGCCATGTTCCTGACCATCATTTACCATGGTATTACCATTGTATATCATGGTTGATGGTATTTCATTGTACGATGTGACAATCAAATGCCATGGTCATACCATGGTATTTTATTGTTATGTACCTGACCATCATTTACCATGGTATTACCATGGTATATCATGGTTGATGACATTTCATGGCATTTCATTGTACCGTGTGACAATCAATAACCATGGTCATACCATGTCATTTCATTGCCAAAATCATAACTCTCATTTATCATGGTTTTATCATTGCATTTCATGGTTGGTGGTATTTCATGGCATTTTATTGTCAAACCTGACCATCAAATACTATGGTCATACCATGGTATTTCATTGCCAAAATCATAACTATCATTTATCATGGCATATCATTGCATTTCGTGGTTGATTGTATTTCATAGCATTTCATTGTCAAACCTGACCATCAAATACCATGGTATTTCATTGCTAAAAAGAACTCTAAGAGAGTGTCAAGTCTAAAATTGGTCAGAGTTGAAATGGATCATGAAATGCAATGAAATACCACGTTTAACCATGAAATGCAATGAAATACAATGATTGATCATGATATGCAATGAAATGCAATGGTCTTTCTTGCAATGCAGTGAAATACAATGAAAGACCATGCTCAAAAAGTATTTTTACATGAAATATCTTTATTAATAAATGTTAATTAGATAACCAAATTATTATAATTAGTGATTCTGATATTCATCAAAATCACAACCTTATATACTTTTGTTCATTTATTTAATAAATTAATTTCTATGATGAACAATTAAGTTAATAACCCTAGAAACAAAATTTTTTTGGTAAATAAATATGCTCTACTTTTATTTGACTTTTGTCGGTAAAATAGGAGATAAACTTAATATTTTGTAAGTCCAACCTCCAGTCTTTGATTAAACATCTTGACTGTACTTCATTGCATTTGATGGTTAGCAACCATCATTGTATTTGATGGTTTGCATCCATCATTGCATTTGATGGCCTGCAACCATGAAATACTGCAAAATAACAGTATTTTTAAATGCAAAATTTTAAGTATAGTGACCATGGTATACCATGGTAGATCATGGTAATTAAATGGCTCCACTGCATATCATGGTTGAATGTCTAGACCATGATATCACTGCATTTGATGGTATTTGACCATGTAATACTGTGAAACGGTGGTATTTTTTAGATACAAAATTACATGTTAATTGACCATGGTATACCATGGTATATCATGATCGTTAAATGGCACCATTGCATTTCATGGTCGGGAGCGCTTTTTTAACATGGAGTTTCCCATTGAAAAAATACTGCCGTTTCACAGTATTTCATGGTCAGAAACCATCAAATGCAATGATATCATGATCAAGTTCTCGACCATGATATCATTGCATTTGATGGTTTCTTGACCATGATATCATTGCATTTGATGGTTTCTGACCACGAAATACTGCGAAACGGCAGTATTTTTTCAATGGAAAACTCCATGTTAAAAACACGCTGTTAACCATGAAATGTAATGGTGCCATTTAACGATCATGATCGGCCATGGTAATACCATGGTATTTCATTGCATTTCATGGCCATATACCATGGCCATACCATGGTATACCATGGTATGGCCATGGTCCATTTCAACATGGTAGGGTTTCCTTGCCATGAAGGTGGATCCAATCATTCTGATACTCAGACCATCTCTGGCAATGCACAAGGATTGATAGAAAGGAAACTCAGAGAAGGCTGTGATATCTCACGATGAGGTGGAAAAGGCTTTCCTGAATGCAGAATAGAAAGTAGCCTTTTATATTTGAAAGTTATATGTTTCTCCACCATCATCATTTTCCAAAATCACAATATATCATAGCTACCATGTTATCATGCCTGTCGCTTCGATAGCTTTAACAAAGCAAGCAGAAATAAATAATCGCGTAATTATGTGGTGTCCTGGCAATAAATTATTAAAAACATTAATCTTACAACAATAGGCTACATTTTTTTGTAAATCTGAAGTTTCTTGAAGGTTAAATCGACATCTTGGATTCCTGAAGGGAGGTTTGTCATTCCCATGATTCTTTGCCAATGTTTGAGAGTAATTATTCTGATTTGTCAATAGATGCTCTATTGTCTTGTATTTTCTGGTAGAGAATGAAGGTTGAATATTCTACAGAATTATTTGACCAAATTATGATATAATAAGAATAAGAACGTAATCTTATTTTATTTCTTTTTCTTTGGAATATTTTTACAGTAATTTCTTTTGTTGGATGTTCGTTTGGCCCTTATAGGGTATTACTCATTCTGATACTCATAGCATTTTTCTGTTTCACCTGAAACATGCTCTGATATAATGAGGCATATTCTGTGATCTGAGCACATCAGATGGGAAATGTTATATCTGTCAATAAGTGTGATAGTTATCATGTAATCATTTATCTTAATGACAATACATTACATAATAGGCATTGCATTTAACAGCAGATATTAGAGCAGGCACAGTTACACAAGTTTTTTTGTTTTTTTTATTTATTTATTATTATTCATTAAGTATTGCATTACATGATTATAGTTATATGCCCCAATTAGATGAAATATGAGTTGGGATGAAGATCTCAAAAATCCTCAATTTCTGGCTCTCCTGTATCGCCAAATCAAGCTCATTATATCATTGCATCTCAGGACTGAGAAGAAATGAGACGTTGGTGTTTATCATGATGGGTATTACTCATTAGTACAAATAAATCCTATTATATATAAGTACAGTGAATATATTCAGTCTATTTCATCAAGTGATATAGCATCTTCTCGAGGGTAGACCCTGCAGCCTCTAGTATGTGGAAAACACCAGATACTCTCAATTTGCATGTATTCATAATTCATATATCAACCATTCATAGTTTGCTGACAAAATATATAAATGTATTTGTTTTTTGGCCCACCTGTAAGTAATAATATAAATATGTGGTACGAGTAAATAGAATAAAATCAAAGTTAATTATTTGTTTTTATGTATTTTCAGGTTGATAAGTAAAGCAACACACATATAAAACAGACCCCTTCTACCAGTCAACATGAGTATTTTTCGACGCAAAAAGACGCTCAATATCACTGAAAAAGACCCCTCGTACAAAGTTGAGTATTTGGGCAATGTCCAAACAGCTCTTATGAAAGGAGATGGCTGTGTTGACAAGCCAGCGACTGTATTATGGAACAATTATATCAAAACGCCAAATCCTGGTCTCGACATGAAAATGACAGTTACCGCGAGTGGTCTAAAAGCTTACACTAAGGAACAGGGACTTACTGAATACCGGGCTCATAAAATAAGTTATTGTATCGCTCACCCGACATACCCGCGTATGTTTGTATGGGTATACAGGCACGCTGGTAAGAAGATGAAGATCGAGTTAAGATGCCATGCAGTCCTATGCAAAAGTGAGTCAAAAGCAAAAGCTATGGCAGTTCAGCTTCATGATAAATTAGACCTAGCCCTAAAAGAATTCATGCGGGAAAAAACACGTCGACAAAATGCACGACTGAGGATGGAGCGCACTAACAGTTTATCAAAGTCTACTGGACAAGATTTAGCGCTTCTCACAGCTAATGGTGAATACACACAAAATAACAATTTGGCCCACCCTGGGCAACCCATACGCAAAAAACTTCTTAGCGCTGGGCAGAATTATAAGCCACCAATCGAGCGATCATTGAGCGCGCCCAAATTAGGAAGCATTACTGAAGACATGGAAGAGGAGCTTAACGAACAGAGAATTTCTGCGATTTCATTGGATGATGACGTTCTGATTGAAGTTGATGAGGAACTTGAGGAATTGGAATCCGTGTCGCGGAACGGGTCGGTAGAGTCACCAACACACGGCATAGAGTTCGAGATTGGAAATGATATAGAGGCTTTGAAAAAAGAAAAAGATGTTCAGTATCATTTGAACAAAAGAAAGGATTCAGATGAGGACAGTTTAAGTTCAGAATCAGGTATTTCTGATCCGGAAAGTCAAAATGGCGGCTCGCCAAAATATCATTCCAAATATGGAAATAATAATGACGAGAAAATTCTGAGTAGTAGTGCAACAACAATTTTGACTGCAAATAGTGAAAATGAGGACATCGCTATTATTATAAGCACCAATCCTAATATGGGCATGGAAGACTCTAGCCCCGGGGTCAGCCCTACCTCCCTTAGCCCCCTGAGTAGTGGACCCTCTACTCCAACCCACACACTTGCTACTCCAGATTTAATCAACGGACATGCAAAAATGAATGGAAGTGTGAGCATTCCAAATGGTACCAATATTCCAAATGGTGCCAGTATTCCAAATGGTACCATAAATGGCACTGTAAAAGCCATGTAAGGTGCACTTTGACTTGTAGCGGTCATGTTTGATTAAGTTGGTGCCTCAAAAATTCCTTGTCACAAAATACAAATGATTATGATTTAAAAATAAATTGAATTTATTTAATTGTAGCAAAGCATTGCATCATGACAAAAAATTTTGTTTCGTAACTTAAACGGAATTGATTATATCAGAGGCTCGGACTTAAAAACAATTATCAGCCGCTACAATAACATTACAATATAACATTGCAGTCTAGTTTCCCGATTATAAAAGACTTATGGGAGCTCTATATATCAGGGGTTTAAAGATGGATGGAATAAGCAGAAAAAATAATAGGGGCCACATTTTGAAATACAAAATGGGATGGTAGAAAGTGGAATCACTAAATAGTGAAATAGCAAAGCATGACGTTTGCATTCCGAATTGTATAGAAATGCAATAAAATATACTTGTTCATTCAAATTTGAGAGAGAAAGCGTGAAATAAGCATGACCATATTAGGAAATGCCATGAAAAAGATGAGGACCAATTGGTCAGATATTGTCCTTGTTTAATATGTAAATTAATTGTCTCCTATGAGTGCTGTGGATACACTACACTAAAATGTGTTTTACACATGGGTTTATAGAATGTACTGTATATAGGCCAAGGTATTTTAATTAAATGGTTCATGCTATGATACAATAATAGGGTGCTAATTTTGAAATATATGTATCACTTGAATAAACCATGGATTACATTTTATGACCTTATTTTGTTAAAAACATCCAAAATATAATGCGCTAGCTGGTTAAGTCATACTGTACTTCTACTTAATTTTGTGCTACTTATTTTGGTAGATTTTCTGTTTTGAACATTTGGCGACTACTTAATTGAGCGGACTTGCAATGTTGAAATGTATATAACATACTTTTTGATTGAAATATGAAATATTGAATTTGGTGGCTCCTTCATTTGGCGGACTTTAACAATGATCTGCCAAATTAAACAGCCGCCAAATTAAGTAGAAGTATAGTAATTGAGGCATTGTATTTTATCATTCCATTTATTGGACAAGTTAATGTTATGCTAAAGCAGCCACAGTTGAGTTAAAAGAGGGGTTCAGTTACATGCATTTGGGAGAACTTGAATGTAAAAGTGAAACATGATGACCCCAGGAGTTCTCCCCCCCACTTTCAATTGGTCAAAGTGGGGACCTTATTACAACTATGTACATGTATTTTCCTCATACTCAATCGGCCAAATAAAGGCCAGTGAGGTGAAAATAGTACACACCTTGGGAACTTAGTTTTACATATGTTTAATGTACACTTTCTTCAAAACAGTGCTAACTTAACCTCCCCAATGCCCCATTGAACACTTGTAGCTTGTTTTATTCCGTAGCACCAACATGTGTACATAAATAAATAATTTGGATTATTCATTTTTACATTTAAAAAAAAGCTCAATTTGGACAAGGCCAAGGCAATATATTACGTTTCACATATATGTACTGTAAAAATTCACCTTATAAACTAAGGATTTGTTTTTGTTAAGTATTGAGTTATATTTAAAGTTGTAAAAATGCAATATATTTTGTGATTCTGTCAAATATATGTTTATTTTAAATGTATGAATTTGTATATAATTATCTATTTTCACAAGTATATAAAGTATATGTACATATTTAAAAATGTTATTGTTTTTGGACCCACCTTGTACATTAATTGGTTAAAATATGACAATAAATTACACCCATGTTGTAAAATTTGATCAGTTCATTCAAGCAATTTGGATGAGTTCATTTATGTGTCAGAAGATTATATAGGGGTGATAGGACAAGAAGTGCAGTCTATTGTTGAATGTTTCCTCATTTATTATCTATTGCTCTTTCATTCTAAATTATTATCTATTGCTCTTTCATTCTAAATAACTTTTACTTTTTACTTTTTTGGATCAGAAATGGGCACAGTGCCCCTTTTGAATAAATAAAAATGTTAAATGTGTACTTAAAAAATGCTTTTTTGTTGTGTATCTATAGGAAAGAACCACAAAGGTACGGCCAACCAGTTTATAGCTATGGTAGTGCCATCTATTTCTTGTCATCTATTTTTCATGATCTGTTGTCCATTTCTCCATAATGTCTTTTAAACAAATATTCATTTGAGATTTATTTAAAACTTCGATGATGTTTTCTCTTTTGGGATCAAATGTTACCCTTTACCTTTTGATGAAATAACATAGAACTTTTATTTCATTGAACTTTGAAATTGAACTATTACTTCATAAAAGCACAGTAGATATCTCATTTGGGAGACAAATGGAAATACATTTTAACAATATATTTATTTTTTAAAAGTCCTGCATGTTATTTCAGTTACTTTGTTCAGTGTTAAATTAAAGGCAGAATCTGATCTATAGGGGGTGACAAAATGACAAGCAACATGTATAATTGACCTACCAATCTATTCCTTACAATATCAAATACAATATCTCCCAAAAGATTCATGATATGTTATAAATTGGTGAAGTTATTAATGATTCAAAGTGCAGAAATGAGTGAAAAATGTTTAAATTCTCCCAAATAATAAGAATGGTAACCATTCTTATAGAAAAATAATACATTATTGTAAAAATCTTTAGTTTTCCTGGAATAAAGTATGCACTTTTGTGATTTTTAGAAAATAGACATGACAAGGAATGACATGAGCCAGAAATATTCTAAAATTGAAACAATTTTTTGTTTAGCCTGCTCGCTATATCTGATTCTCTCTTTAACATTCAAATTATTAACTGAGCACCTCAAATTGGAGAGTTAATTGTTATTTCCAACATAAGGAAAAAATAAAGTTATGATGTTAAATAAGAACACCTCATACCCTGCGTGCAGAGTCTAGTTAAACTAGAAGCTGAAGACGAAGCCCTCTTTTAAGAAGTGAAGTCAAACGAATGCAAAGGGTAAACACCTCAAAACACTCATCCATTGGATGAATTCTCAATAAATCATTAAGACAGCAGAATGATCATTAAGGTCATTGTATGACATATGATTCAAAGTCAAATGTTAAATATAATCAGTTGGAATTGGAAGAAAAGAGATATGTTAAACACCTGAATGGAACGGATTGATCAGCTTACACCAATATAGAGACCCTCCTTTTGGACTTAAAAAAGTTGAACCCCCTTGGCAAAAGCTGTCTATGGGTCTGGCTCCATTCTTATTGTAATACATACTGAGAGTTACTCGCACATAATTAGGTTGTATACACCTTTAATTTTCCTCATCCCAGTTCCATCTCAGCTCACTTGAAATAGCCTTCATAAAGTGCATCCCAACTGGAATTCATCCATGTTATATTCCTGAGATTCACACTGTTCAACAGCTCATATCATCTTCTAAATAGAAAGATCATTACCGCCATCTTTCTGTTAACATTAATGTTTTTAAACATTTCATCGTGCAGTAGCACATTTTTGTTAGATTCCGAAAGCAGTAACTACTACTCTACTTTACCTAACCCCTAGAAATACATAAGATATTCTGTTTGTCTAATTGTATTGCTTAGTATATTTTTGAAAGTACCTTATTAATATTTAACAGTCATCCGATAAACCATTCATAAGGAACAGAAGAGACATAAAAACAAATTTAAACATGACCGTGCTCTATTCAAATTTCTCAACCAATCAGAATGCAGCATAGCCAATATAGAACGTTCTCTAATTCTCCATAGATGCACGACCATGCTCTATTCAATCTGCAATTTGCATTGTTTTGAGTGACGTCACATCTCAGCTGCACATCTGGGGCTCTGTCCGGGGATAGCTGTTCTTTCTCTTGCGTATTCTTCCTTCATGCCCGTTCCACAGACACGGCTTTTACTAATTTTTATGTTTGAATCGGAATAAATAATGATAGGCCATTCAATATGGTGAAATTCAGCACTCGTTGGACAGAATGTTAGTACAAATGCACTCACCTTCGGTTCGTGCTTTGTACAACATTCTGTCCAACTCGAGCTGAATTTCACCATATTGAATGGCCTATCATTATTTATTCCTTAATCACATAATCATTACTAAAAAGCCAAATGGGTTGCTCATGTACACCAAATGCAGGGTATAGTAGAGTGAAGGATTCAATGCCTTTGCCATTCCCTCTCCTTGGGTTGGTTGACCATTTTTATTTCATCGCCAAAAGTGGTTATGTCAACACCAAATGTGGTGACACGACATTGTTATCTTCAACTCTTGTGAATGGTGTTTGCATTTTGGCATTTAGAGTTCACGTCTGTAACAAATAGCATGTTGCGATATTTTGCATGTTAGTTCGCTGTTATCAAGAAGATGTGACATTATTTGATAGCATTGCATCTTCCATCTGTAACAGCTGTTACACTTTGATACCATTTGCAGTTTTACCATTTTGTAACTAATTGTCAATGTTTTGCCTCTGATTGTAATTTATGTAGATAGTCGTTGAAGTTCAATAATTATATGAAAAGAGGCTTCCAGTTGCCAAACCTTTGGGGGAGTGTACAGGACCTTCTGTTACTGGCCAGGACATGCTTAGTACATAGAAGAACTACATTCTAATACAAGAGAGCATCAGTTATAATTAAAATTGACCACCTAAACCTGAATGCATTCAACCAATGTTTACATAGAGATACACACATACAAGTGTAAACAGATGAGCATGTTCAACTTTACTATAATCATGGATACAAAGAGGGGAAAAGATGATAAGTTTTAACTTAAAGTAACTGACCTCATTGTAACATTTTACGTTAAAAAATTGCATACAAATGATAAAGTGTAATTACGATAACGGACCTCATTGACACTTTATGATCATTGCGCTTAATTTTGTTTCACCTAGTAAATCATGAACAATTAACAGTGAAAATAGTGATAATACTAAGAAATATTTTTTTATGAATTTACTCTGTCAAGAAAATATATGGTTTGATATGAAGATAAAATAAACATTCGATATATAAGGAAATTATGTTGTAGTTTTGGTCATTTTAAATTGTAATGCCGACATCAGCATGACATTCAATACACGCAATTATTGAAAATAATCGGGTGTTGATAATAATTAAATACATTAAATCACTTAACAGTTTTTACTTTTTATACCTCTTAACTCGCAACTGTTGAACATCTTCATTGAGCTCTCTATAGATATTAAATATCAGTTATTTTATTTTGTAACAATTTTAATATTCATATATCTCATTCTTACTTTATTTCCTTCGAAATTAACAAAAGACACATTTAAATCTTCAATCATGTTCTTCAAAATTTATTTATCTATACACGACCCTGTGTATTCACAAACAAGGCAATTACAGGTTTAAAAGATCTTTCACTTTATCGACCAATATTCCGACCATGCTTTCTATGGAATACAACTTTATTTGGAAGGAAAATGTATCATCAGATCGTCCAAGGAACGACACGACAATAGTTCCACCAAATTCACCAGTATTTGCCACAGCAAGTTCAACATTAAAGCTGATTTCTTTAATATTGATGATACCTCCGAGAGTGAGGCGGGTAATGAAAGAGGCCGCCTTCAAACCGGCCTTCTGCGCCTCGTTGACGCCATCTAATGCTAGTTGGGCGCCCGTTACAGCGTTCCTGCAAAATCATAAAAATTGGATCAAAAGATAAGATTTCAGTTCTCATGCCTGATATTTGTATCCCAAGGAATATATTACTTAAGATAGAAATACATTAGATGAGAAATAGTAAATTGTAGAGAAGTGTAAATTGGCAAAAAATGAAATTGGCAACTGGGATGAAAAATGGTCTTGCTTTCAAGAAGTCCAATATTTTATAAAATACATACGTCGATTTTTCAACTAAGAAAGCTGCTGCGTCCATCAATCCCTTTGCAGCGTTCATTGACTCAGCCAGTCCTTCCATGACCTTTTCCAGTACGATCAGTGTTCCTTTTGCGGCATCGAATAATACGTTGTGTTCCTGGGCCACTTTGAGAGCGGAATCCGCGGCCCATTGTAAGCCAGAAAGACCCCCTTTCACACCCTCTAATGTAACCCTCATTGTCTAAACAGTTGAAGAATAATTATATTCCACTAGTTTATGATTAATTATGAAACTATTATGAAATATATTTGAATAACATTATGCCTGTGCATCACATTAACCATATAGCCAAAAAAACTTCTTACTTTAAATGGTAGCAGGCATGTAGCTCTTGCGGCTTCTTTCGCTGCACAGAAAGTCTCTTCCCTAGCTCGTTCAGCGAGTTCTCTCGCTGGTTCTAAAGGATTAAATTCGATTCCAAGGAAACGTTTGTCTCTCGCTTTCGCTCTGTTGGCTGAAGTAGAAGTTACATGGAAATCCATTACGATTGAAATGTTGTACACCAAATACCTTTTTTTGTGTTTTAGTACCCTTTGCCCTTTCAAATATTAAATCTGTGTACTGTCCAACCGACGACCCTAGATTGCAACAGAGACATATATTGCAACAATCATGAATCCCAGCAGAGACAAACAAACCCTTTCTGATCCCAGATGAAATGAATCATAAAATCCATCATAATATAGATGACAATTGTATCACAATAAAAATTAAAAGTAAAAAAGCTACTTTTTACAGTATTATCAAGATTAACCCTTATGTCTGCAAGGGTCGTGGGGGATATCACGTTACATTGATTTCAATGGGATTTCGCGATACCTTCTATCTTTGAAAGTGTGTAACTTCAGTTTTATCATGAATCTAGTTTTATTTGAAAGATAACAGATTATTCCTTAGGGCAGCGAAGCATTTTTGGCACAAAAAATTATTGTGAAAGAAAAAAGACAAAATGTCAAAAATTTACACCCCCTAGGTCACGTTGACTTCGACTTGACCTATATTGACCTACTTTTTTCAAAAAAGAGGTAATTGAATAAGGTTTACAACAATACCAACAATATTGAAATCAGACAAGTAATAAAAAATCGCAGAGGGGGGGGGGGGCAAATGACCCTCTCCTTGCGACTTGTTATAAAAAATGTTGCAGACATTAGGTGATAAAGCTTGAAATTAAAAACCTAGATTTTTCCCTAATGCTCCTTCCAACTCGAAAAGTTCTAGTTTTAAAAATTATGAAAAATATATAATTTTTTTTTATAAAATCAATTACGTCTTTTTCCTATATATCTTTTCTACTTTCTTTTTCCTACTTTTCTCTTAATATGCAATGTCAACATTTTCTGCTACAATTGCGTCAGACTTCAATGTCACAAAAATAATGATTTCAAATGAGAATCATTATACAAAACAAACTAAACTTTACATTATTGAAAGATAACATTCAAATATTTATCAAAATTCAACACCACTTCAAACTGATGTTGGAAGATTCGGCAATTCACGTACACGTTCTTTTTAAAACGTGTAGCTTAACCACCCTATTATCAGCAAAGTGAGTTTAAGCTGGTAATGTTTTTCACAACCAAAACGTGAACGGAAAATATTTAAGCGATGCATTTATATGGGCGATTGGTCATACGTATAGGTTGGTATTTCGATTTCGTATGCAAGCTTACTCCCTAATGTCAACATACTGTACATTTATTTACCACTCACCTAGTGCTGCGTAAACTCGCTTTGTACGAGAATGGAGGAAACTTTTAGAAGATTTGTCATCGAGTCTCACACCTCGCAATAAATCTACAAAATACATTTTTTATGGTTTTGAAACGTTATCGGTCCCTAATAATACATGATAAAATATAATTCTGGTAGTGTAGTATTTTCAGAAACTTTAATTTAATATAACTTTAATATTATATTATATTACATTATATTAATTATATCATAATATCATATCATATTAATTATATTATATCATATCATATTAATTATATTATATCATATTATATTAATTGTATTATATTTAAGGAATAAAGACCAAGATTTTATGATTCATGGCGTATATATGACCTCAAATTTTATTCTGTTCATTGGCAATGGCCAGAATAAAATTTGAGGTAATATATTTGACATTAATAATAAAATCGGAGTCTTTGTTACGATCTTAATATGATAAACAGACAAGAAACACTACTTTTTGCATTTTTGACTTTAAGCGGTCATACATACAATATAGACCAGTAAATCAATAGGTTTAGCTATTGTGACGCCATGTATCACATTAGAATATATTATATTACATTACATTATATAAGTTATATTATATTATATAATTATAGAAAAGCGAAGCAAAAACAAGCTACAATTAAAAGGTTTTACCTGTATATGTTTTCCTGTTATATACTATATGTATACCACGGCGCAGATTTCCTAAAGAATGTTTAAGATAAAATACATAATATTGTTATAAGGTACATGTGAATACTAAATAAAATAAACAATTTTTAACAACTTTAGACGACATTTGAAACGGTTAATATTTTTAGATAATCTGCCATAAATGTACATACTGTACTGAAGAAGAAGCTTACAAAATATGAAACAATTTCCAAGTTCTATATTAAGCTGTACTGAAGAAGCAACCGCCAAAAATAAACAATTTCTCAGTTTTATTTTTTATTTTAGAAACATGTTTGTCTCACTCCTTCGACGACGTTTACATCCACCTGGACAAATACGTTCTCCACTTTCAATTCTATTCTGCAAGTCGGTGATCTCCCGCTTTGCAGCATTCAATTTCTCAACTTTATCTCTAGCATCTTGCACCTTTTCTTTCCACTCTCTCTCTAAGTTGTCCACGTTACTCTGCTGGTTACCAATCTCTTGAGCTTTCGCATTTATTTTTGCTTGAATCTTATCAACCTAAAATAATGAGAAGACCTTTGGATATACTTTGTCAGTCACTTTCCCAGATCTGATTATCAATCTCATCCCAGGAAGTTTTTTAGACATTATGGGATAAAGTGAAGATTTTTATCCCGTACATAAAGCAAATTGCGGGATAGAATATATTCTAAAACAACCTAAAATAATAATAAGAATCATTGTATAGACTGCTTTGGTAACTTTGGCCACATGTTAAATGGTGCAAACAATTAGACAGACTTGATCACGACCTTTCAAATTTTACTAAAACAAAGAATCCAGGATATACTGGTCAGATTCATGAAGTCAACATAATCATAAGACATTTCCATTCTGATGTTCATAATATCTGTCTCACTTTGCATCCCAAAATGTCCAGAAGGACAGGTAGTAAAGCAACTTCAGTGGTTACCCTGTATTATCGCCGAGTAAACAAAATTTCTTACATCAGCCTTCTTATTACGAAGATCATCAGCGGCGTCCCTCAACGTTTCCTTGGCCGAATTAAGTTCTCTTTCAGCTGCATCGAAGGCTGCAGTTGCTTTTTTACTAAGATCATTGATGGCACCCGTTACTTTGTTCTTCAAATTTTCCAGAAGTGTTTGCTTAAAGGAACCAGCCACTGAAAACTTTGCAGTGGCCAAGGAGGCATAATTAGCAGTAATGTTAAGTTGGGCCTCAAAGAGATTCAAGAAACTACCCCCAATCTCAAAGTGAATCCCCCGTTTATCAATCGTTATATTCACAGAGGCACATATTTTAAGCACACATACTTTTCCCTGAATATCAATTGTGGCTCTAGGAGGGTTCCATCCAACGTCTACTAACAATTCCGGGCCAGATTTACCGTCACCGTCAATACTGATGAGATTATTCCCAATGTCAAACCTGTCGACCATTACCAATATGTAAATACCATTGATGTCCAAGCGCATAGTACTATGGACTTTAAAGCCAAGGATTTGTAATGTACCATTGAACCTCACCCCACTGGGAATTGTTACACCATTCGGCAACACCTTTCCAAATTGTGAATACGATACATCAAGAGCGTCAGGGAAACCGATTTCATTCAAAGCTTGGGGAAGAGTTGGGAAATAGGCAAATGCAGCTAATACAGCTGGGATGGTTAAACTAGAAATTTTTCCCGAGAAATAACTTTCTGATGGGACTATTTTGTTAAGACCGATATATAAAGATGCGTTAAACAGTTTAGCATCAGGGTCGTCTATCTTACCAATCTGAGCACGGCCCCCTAGATGTAACTCTGAAATGAGAGTAGGTTCTGGTGTTATGCCTATCTTGATGTTAAGATCACATATCCTTAAGATTGGGATTGTAAAGGGTTTAGTCCAACACCCGACCATTGCCATGCCTAAAGTTGCGCCTCCAGTTGTAGAAAAACCTATAGCACCACTGAAACTTAATTTTGGTTCATCTATTTTTAAACTGGCTATAAGTGCAACCTCGACCATCGGTGGTCTTACAATGACCCTGAACCCAATCCCTGATAGATTGAATCCTTGGACAATTTCTATATCCCTTGGTATTGTAACCTCAAGTAGAAGATCATTTATTGCAAGGCGCCCTTTGATAATTAGTGTGAAATCCAAACCAAACTTTTTAAAAACTCCACAGACGATATCACCCGAACAATCCTCTGGGAGTTTTATCTCTGCCACTAAGCTTACCCCATCAAGTATGTTAGTATCACCTAACATAGGAAGTTTGAACCTTAAATCACTCCTACCAATGCTAGGTATTTCATGGGTGGATGTAACGAATCCTATACTACTTTCGTCAAATATTCTACTTCCTGGAATAGAGGATATATCAACCTTACCCTTGGTGAGTTTATCTATCACACTACTAAGCTTTGTCCTTTCAAGTACCACACCAAGAGTCATAAGCATGGCGCCATTCACTTTACCTCCTAGCACCTCTACTTTAGATGCATCAAAATTCCCTATCACTGCTGTGCCACTCACCCTTGCCCCAAAGTTTTTCCCTATCAACACTTCAAAACATGGATTTTCAATGGAAAAGGTTTGGAAGGCATCTGCAACGAAATCGGGAAGAAACGACGCAGCAAACTTCGCCATGACCTTTCCCACTTCAAGTGGTCTTTCCGAACAGGCAGAAGCAAGAAATTCTGAAGCACCGGACGGTTTACTAATAGTCAACTCAATGGGATAATCCCTGATAAGCCACGTGCCACTTGCTTGGAAGCTTAATGTCCTGGGCTTACTTAATCCTATGACGAACTCAACCTGAGGTTCCTCGATCTCAAACACATGTTCTACTATAGTTATGTCATCTTCAAGTATTACTGGTATAGTAAGCTCATTCAGGTCACCATTGTAGTTCATATTTGAGAGACCCCTATTGAGAAAAGATGCTAAAGGAAAGCCAGGAGGAAGTTCAAGGTTAATCGAGTCTAGGAGTTTGTTAATGATACTCTCAATGTCAAGTTGAGGCCCTGGTAAGACTTTGAAACCAATTGACTTCGGAGGAGTGAATGTTACCATAAAATTCATTGGGTCTGAGTTTGCATCAAATCTTGCACTAAACAATAAAGTGATTCCCTTGGACACTGAAGGTAATAGTGCAATGACATTAGAATCACTATTATAGTCGACAATAAGAAGGGGGATCTCTTTAGTAGCTCCAATAACAGCCACTTCTGGAAATGCTAGGGTACCTATCAGAGGAACACTAGAAATATCATAGTTTGCAAGATGTTGAATAATTGAGGCAAATGTAAGGTCTTTCAATAGAGCAGCCAATGAAAATCCATTATTGAATTCACTGCCTTCCCTTAATCTATTGAAATTTAGCATGATATTTGTGCTACCTAGTCCGGATACTGTTGATGTGAAAGAAAATTGTACACCCATGCCGAAATCTGTGAATTTTGCTACAAGGCTCATATCACTGATTGATATATCATTAAACTTAAGTTGATTGAAAAGAGAGGATGCACTGGTGGAATCCCCGGGTATCACTGCATTTGAGACGGTTCCCAACAACGTAGCAAGAGACACATCAGATGAAACAGGACGTGCAACAACGTCATATTCGCCATTATCATAACCTGCTTGTATAACAAAAGAAACCCCACCTAAATCCCATGTAGCACTGAACGAAACTCTTAAGGATTTAGTTGGTAGTATAATTGACAAGTCGATCTCTATATTTGTAACACTTAGTACAGAGGGGATAATTGTTATTTCCCTATCAGCAAATAAGGATACAGATAACGACCCAGTTTCGTCACAGACATTAATATCAAAATATTTTACAATCAAAGCAGACATATCAATGGGATTTTCCCCAACAGAGCCAATTTGAAGAGCTTCTGCAATACCATTTATAGTATTCAAAACTTTTTCAATTATGACGTCAACAGTGAGACAAGTGTCAGGGTTAGGGGTGATGGAAATGACACAGCCATCGGACGCCAACGTAACGCTACAGCCATCCTTCACTTTTAGTGCTTTGGTGAACTCAAATGATTTAAACTTAAAAAGTCCATCAAGCGAGGGCAAAGTGTCTGCAAAGAGAAAGAGAAAAAACTGCTATGTAGTGAATACATAGTTGCAACATTTATAAAACATACAGGGTGGCCCAAAAAATGGGACACTCGTATTTCAAAGATTAATATTGATTTTCTTGACGGAAACATATTTTCATCAAGAAAATCAATATTCGTTTTTGAAATTCGAGTGTCACATTTTTTTGGACCACCCTGTACATTGATATTCTAGTATCAAGGCCTACTTATACCGGGGAGCTATTGATTTGAGAAAATGAATCTGTCATACCATGATACCTCGATGTCGGACCCAAGCTACGTCAATGGTACAGTTTATATTAAAGCCAGAATAAGAAAAACTCTTTCAACATTTTAAGTACAATAATCTTCTTTACCTCGCTACATGTATCTATGTCTTTATCATACCTACCTGGAAGAGCAATTTCTGTTGTAGGTTGAGGCGTTGTATCTCCATCTGGATTTGGCGTTGTATCACCATCTGGATTGGGTGTTGTATCGCCATCTGGATTTGGCGTGGTATCACCATTTGGATTTGGGTTTGTACTGTCATCTGGATTTTGCGTGGTGTTGCCATCTGGATTTTGCGTTGTATCGCCATCTTGATTTGGTGTGGTATCGCTATTTGGATTTGGCGTGGTTTCGCTATCTTGATTTGGTGTGGTATCGCCATCTTGATTTGGTGTGGTATCGCTATTTGGATTTGGGGTTGTACTGTCATCTGGATTTGGCGTTGTATCACCATTTTGATTTGGCGTTGAATCACCACTGATTGGTGGATTTGGTGTTGAGGATGCTATAATATGACGATATATAGTATATGGTCCTTTTGAAGGTGTGCTTAATTATGTTATTGAAGGCGTATTAATATCGTTCATTAAGTTTTATGAAGTGGTAGTCTATTTTATTTTTAGTCCATCAAATTTCTGAATATTTGATAACCTGAATTGAATGATAAACCTTTTGATTCATATGCCATGGTTAAGTTCGAAGGGAGTGTTCCTTGCATGTTTATATATTTATAAATCTTTTCAAAAATTTACCAACAGACACAAAATTAACATATCATATAATTTTGTACCTCCACTTTTCTCATTGAAAATGGTTAACTTCTCGATTTTCCTCTCTAATTTTGCCATCGCTTGTTTACGTTGTTTTTTGTTTGGACTCAAAAGTTTAGAAACTGTATCTTTTGCTTCCTTAGCTAAATCTCCCATTGCTCTCAGGTCTTTTTTAACTTCAGGTGAAGCACTCTTCTTTTTGGCTTCCTCTTTTGTTGCAAGCTTCAACAAAAACGTTTAACTTGTATATAGCAAAGATTTAGTTATATTTTGACAATACTTTCATTCTCTCAATTTGCTTTTTCAAAGAGTTTAAAAATGGATTATTAATGATTAAGACAACAATTAACTTCAAATACAAACAACTGAGGTAAACATCTTTAAATATAGCATCTAATTTCCTGGTGAAAATAAAATAATTTAATATATACTTTATGGTTATGTGTTTACTATTTATACTTATTACAGACAGATACTTGTACCAAATGAATAGGACGGGTCTCTTGAACTCTAGAACTTAAAATTGGGATGTGAGTTTTTAAATTTATAATGCTATAAACTAAATGTTGATGTTTGAATAGAAAAATAGTGATTTTGGATATTATTTTCATAATATAGATACGTTAAGTATGTTATGGTGATTTTACAAACCTTTAAGTAATAGCCGAGAAGGGATGCTACGGGTTCCCATAATTCAACTTTTGCTAAATTATTTTCCTTGTTATATTTCTTTATTCGTTCTAAGTCCGGCATCAGCGATTTCGAAGTGATTTCTGCCAATCTTTCTAAATTCACATCAGGGCGGTTCAGCAACCACTCTCCTAAAGTATTTTAAAGATAATGTGTAGTAATGTTTGCACTGAGGAACACTAACGTTAAAAAAGTGTCGTACTTATTAGAATGCAATCATGATAAGATGACACCTGACAGAACATTTTGAAATAATTCCTCAAGTTTGACATTGAACAACGTTTATTCTTCGTTTCTATACATTACCTTTATTGGACAATTTGTCTAAATAGACACCTAGTAGAATGCTGTCTTAGATATTTTTCAGTAAATATATATCATAGTATAATTTAATTTCTTACTTTCTAAGGCATCAGCAAAATACGGTAGTTCACTCAAAGTATTCCAGCCGTCCTGAATATCTCTGATTACAGAGTCAGCGTCTTCCGATTTGACATCTTCAGTCGCTTTCAAACGTTCCAAGTTGGTAACAATGTCCGTTGAAAGATCATAAACCTCAGCCAATGCACCTTCCTCCAAGTTGTCTTGCATGAAGGCATTTGCTTTATCCTTTTGTGAATATATTGTTTATGCATATAATACAAATAAATTAATTGATGTACTTGCACGTTTATCTTTCGCAATTTATATTCATTAATCTTATTTTTGTAAAATGATATAGTTTTTATCTGTGGCAGTGGTAAGTAAGTCATTAGCCCTATTTACACTACACGCGACATTCCAAGACGTCTTGGCTTAAACGTTTTAGAAAAATTATGTTGAGTTTACACCACCATTTTCAAGACGTCTTTCGAAATATGATTAAGTTTACACCTTTTTTCTAAAACGTCTTAGAGATATGTACTAGGTATACATGTAAAATAAAAAAGCAGTTCATTACTGGTTGAAGGACGGTTCCGTCAATAGAGCTATTCCCTTCCCGCTTCTATACTTTGTGCTAAAGAATGCATTGCTTTCACAAAAGTATGTCCTAAAGAGAGCATTGTCAAAAGCATGAAAGAGAGCAAGAAGATTTTGTGCATATATTAGGATTATGAAAGATCGTCAGGCAAATTAGTTCTTCTCGATATTTTTGGGATAATATTGGGAACAAGGGATAAGACAAAAGAAAGGAATATGCGACACATGTAAACAGAAAATCTTTCGTTCTGCGCAACGCAAAAACCGGGCTAAGAGCTCTTAGCTAAAAGCGATGGGTTTTACATTCGCTTGTAAAACGTTTTGACGCTAAGCCGTCTTGGCTATGACTTTAACACTAAAACGTTTTACCCAAAACGTCTTAGGGCTCTAGTGTAAATCCAACAAATGTACTGCGAGCGCAGTTCTTAATTATATCTTAAATCATCATCATCAGGACTCTGTAATAGAAGATGAAACACACTTTTTATTCAAATGTAAACAATTGGAGTATGTCAGAAACTCCCATGTTGAAAAACTTGAAAACCTGTGTAGTAATTTTAAAAACATGAATGACCATCAAACTACTATTGACGAGTGAGGGGATCATATTAAAAGAATCTGCTGACATGATAAATTATCTAATGATTGGTAGAGACAGGATTCTTATATCAAAGTAACATTTTATATGTCATTTGAAAATGTATAAATCCTATTTTCTTTACTTTATTGCTATATATTGAAAATTGTATATCGGATGTACGTTTGGCCCTAAAAGGGCACCAGTACTAATAAATCATACAATATGGTCACTTACCTTAATATATCGGATAAGAGGTCTCGTAATATCATTTTGAAGAATGAATTCCTTTTTTATTTTATGCAGTTTCCGTCTAGGAGTTTCAGATATTTTGTGATAGAATATATACTCCAGTTGATCGAACTCCGCCTGTAGTTGCGCTACCACTGGTTTTAACTCTGCCAACGCATTTTCTAGAATAGCGAAATTAAATAAGACTGAAATAATATGAAATAAGCTTGATCAGTATACAAGTAAGAATAAATGCTTTTAAGTCATTGACTAATTTATTTACTTCTACAAATTTCGATTTGGGTACAGTGGAGACATCTATCTGGAACTACTTTCTTTCCAAGTAGGGCCCGGGAAGTAGGGCAACGTTAGTTGAACTATGTTTAAAGCCCCACTCACATATGAACCATATGATCCACCAAACGCATTCTTGCAAAGTCAATTCTGGCGATTGGGAACGTAAACTTGCGAACTGAAGCGCATCTTTGTGTATGCTTCCGAAGCTTTCCGAAGGGGTACTTACATATACAAACACCCCGACGATGTACAACGTACACGTACTAATTGGAACGAATTTTACGCAATTTCTATTCGCAAGACTGCGCTTAGTGGTTTCGTTCATAAGTGAGAGGGCCTTTATGGATCTGAATAATAATTGTAAATGCACTTTGGCGTTTGTGCTATCCTAAATATTTGAATATTGTTCATATCTATGTAATACATTTGAGAACTTTTTGTTCTCTGTAATTCAAAAGGTGTTTTCTTTTGTTTTTGCCTAGATAATAATGTGTAAAGCAAATAAAACACAACCAACTTACCAATGTTTGCATGCACGAGACGATGTTGTCCGGCTAACCACGTGATCAGAGTAACGAGAGCAATGAAGCAGCCTATTAAAGGAAAATCCAGGAATCTCACGGTATCAAATGCTAAGTTTATCATCCTATTTGACTGCTCAATGCGCATAATGTTACAAACATAAACATATTTTGTCTAAAAAGATAATAAATTACTCAACGCCAGATTTGACAAAGTCTACAATATATTCACAAGGGAACTTTTCTTTAAAAAGCAAGCAATTAAATTATAAATACTAACCTGTCATTTCGCAGCATCACCGGGACGAATGGGATAATCAACAAAATACCACAATTTATTATAAAGATGAACAATACGTGCACGTGATTTCACAGAAATGAATACAAATTCATAGATAAGTAATTAAAATAAAGGTGGTCACATTGAAGCGTGCCATTTGTGCTAAATTTTATCGCCTTTTTATCATCAACGCTATTTTTGCCACAAACTATTTGATCAGCCTGTTGTCATTTAGAATAAAACATTAAATTGCAGTAAACGTATGTATTTATTCTATTTGTACAACACTGTATCTGAACAAAATTGTTTGAAAAGCAAAAATAACAATTCCAGAAAACCGTGGATCACATTGAACCAATATTCACATTCGTAATGCCTGGGTCACATTTGCCCCGATTCATCGGCCGGCGCCCGGCCGATTGAGTATTTTGTTCAAATCTGAATACAATTTAAAACAAAATACTCAATCGGCAGGGGGCCGCCCGATGAATCGGACCAAATGTGACCCAGGCATTAGCTATAATGCCTGGGTCACATTTGCTCTGATTTTCACTACGACAGCCGGCAGTCGTTAGAAAACGGAACCACAGCATCCTTAACAATTATCATGATAAATCGTATGATATTCCGTCGACACAGATTTCTTTACAAAATTCCATTTCAAATACCCCCAATATTACCCCCAAACTACAACATGCCTTTGTCATGTAAACGTACATACATTTTGGGTTATCCGTTGACCTTATAAGGGACAACTCCAAATAGTATAGTTTCTAAATAGCTAAATAAAGCTCAATAAAGCTGACATAATAGATGTCACTTTTGTTCATCTTGGGCCAACCTTCCATTGAGTTCTATGCTAAAAGCTTGCAATAGTCACTTAATTTCATGATTTATCAAAGAGTGTTAGTTAAATCTGTCTGAAATTTACATGGCGTACTATTAAATGACCCTGTCAATGAACATATTGTGATTAAACATGAAAATGTTGGTTGGCATACGATTAAACCATGGTTTTAAAGAATTTTAGCATAACATCAATGGAGATTTGGCCCAAGTTTTTTTAAAATGTCATGGAGAATGATTTAAATGACATAAATGCGTAAATTAAAGCTATTATTGTAGAAAACATATCACTGAATTCAAATATGCTATCAAAAAGAAAGAAAAGTAAGTCATTGGAAGTAAAATGTGCAAATCTCTTAACATCTCATGAAAAAACGAGAATTAGCGAGATTTCAAAATCATTTAGAAACTCCTCTATTGGAGAGCTCTACCCGGAGAAATGACAATTGTGGATTCCATGTGGATTTAGGGACATGGATTAGATTAAATTGAAACTGCGATACACACTAGGCAGGTACAGTAGGTAGATTTAGTATGTTTGGTAAACAATGCTACATGTATGTATGATACAAATGCAGGCAAGAACAAAGACCAGTATGTGATATCTTTCCATTTAACAAGGATCGTTAAATAATTGTGGTGACATTTAAACTGGTTCAACCGGATTTATTGTTGAATTTTGTACCAAACACCTGTATTAATGTAATTAAAGTAAGGTCGAGAGAATGCAGAATTTTTTTACTAATACTTTGATCACTTTTCTAAGAATTTAAGCAAATGGATGAAAGAGCAATGTTTGTTGGACAAGAGGAATATGTTTCCCATGAGGCAATGATCAGTCAACCAATCAAAATGAATCATCATCTCGCTGGTTTAATTTATCTTGGGATTAATAAATTAATTTAGAATAAAATTCACATAAACACCCTTGAAAAAAATGTTGATATATTAATAATTTAAAATATTTAAATTTACGAATTATTTTGATTTATTTAATTTTGCTGTGTATATTCAAACTGATAGCATGTTACTAAATATGTTATTTTATGGTTTCTAATTATGCATTTATAAACAGAATAGGTGTTATTTTGTAGTATAAAATTTCACTCTTGTTTTCTAAGGTTTTATGTATTGCAATGTGCATTGTGTTGTTCATTGCCATTGTATATATAGTTCGCCGGAGTTCATTTTACTCTCGTGTCATTTCGAATGAGCATTAATATTCAGTGAGTACGAACTATTTTTAATTTTAACATCAAATTTCTTATATATTTTATGCTTGGTGTAATGACATTTTATTTTTCATTAATTTCTTTCTGTTTCTGTTCGTAATTGGCACTTTTGTATTCGATGACATTTTGGACTTCAAAACGTCGTTTTCAAGTACTCTACGAATATTATTTTCACAGTAAAGTTATCAGATTAGCATATTAAACATTTTTTTATTTAAATTCCAAAGCAAAAAATAAAGAGGAGACAGGGATAATTCCTTGAAAATAATCAATTATAATTTTACATTTTTATCTTTACATTTTTATCTCAAACATATTTTTCTACAAGTACAATACAGGGTGGGTCAACAATTGGAAATTTTTTATATTTATTCGATTGTCTTTATTTTTGCAGTTTAATCCACAAACATTCAGATAATGGTAGAATGATTATTTGTGAAAATGTTAAAGAAAATTGAATAAATAAATGTTCCAATTTTTATTGGCCCACCCTGTTATGTATATTTAAAAAAATGCTGATTGGGAACGTATAATTTTGAGAGAAAACCAAAAGAAAACAGTTTACTTAGAAATACCAAGTATTCCGCACAGTTTATTTTCAACTTGTAAGCTATTAGATAGATACCAGATCTGATAAAATGTATCACCCCACCCATACGATGGGTGAAATGATCATTCTTGTCAGGGATTTCGTGCAGTGTCATTTTTAATATCGCATTGCATCAATAATGGTGTCCAACACAATTACCACAGAACCATTTAGTTTGTTCACCATATTGCTTTATAGCTAATTCGTGAAAGTGTATAAAAATGGCTATTTGGGAAGTACTTCTTGGTTCCTTTATATTTGCGACATACTTGGCCGATACTGTTGCAGTTCCAACAGTTTTGCCCGTCAATTCTTATCGAGATAGTCGTGATACAGCACCAGTTAATTGCTACGGAACTCTCTTGGCCGAAACAGCCCTTCTAGTACCTGCATCCTGCGTATACGACCGTAAAAACAGAAAGCCACATCGTACTATCAAAGTCAACAATGTGGCCATCGGCAATACGAAGTCAGTTGTACATGTCTCTTCAACGTGGTTGAAAAAGGGGCATCCTTCCTACAACATCGCCCTGGTTATTATCCCCACCCAGCAGTCAACTCCTACTACAAAGCTCACATGGAGCCCATATTCCATTGAACAAATCGAGGTGAAGCTGAAATCGTCAACGAAAGCATACGCGGGCTGTGCAAGTTTAAAGAAGCTAGGACCTGCCTTGGATGAAATGGGAGATCGTATGATTCCTTTTAAATGTACCAATCTGGCCACACCAGAAAAACAAGGAGCCCCGGTATTCCAGACAAATAATGGGATCGATGAGGTTTTTGGGCTGTATAACGGAGCATGCACCATAGGCTGGGGTCTTAAGAGTAAAAAGGGACACTGCGGCGTAAGACTTACGAAGACAACATTTGATGAAATTTGCGCTGTGGCCATAGCTAAAAGTCTAACCGTCAAAGGCTGTAAAGATATGTTATTAACAAAAGGTATGTAGAATATCATTTAAAAAAAACTTTAAAATGCTATTATGACTTGATGTAGCTTTAGCAGTTGGAATTCTTTTAACATTACAACAAAATTACTTTGCATCATTTCGGTGCTTGATGACAAGACCGACGACTTCGACATGTTTTGTGAATAATGAAAATTGATGCCATTCATCAAAATCATTTAGTGCTCTATTGGCACCTGTCCAGAAATTCAGTACCTTTTGTTAGCCTATAAATTGAAAATACAGTATCATGCCATATTAAATAGGAAACTTGAAGATTTCAACTCTTGCTACATGTATACATAATCTTCAGGTACGGGGGATCCAGAACCAACAGTTATTAGGACATATCAGGGATACACTGCAGTCGTCAGTATACCAATAGCAAGCCGAGGCCTGTTTCTGAAGTTCTGTCCAGCAGATGGTAATGCTATATACTACTATAAATTATTGTTTAAAAATGATCAGGATATTTAACTTCAAATATATAATGGTTATTAACTGAAAAATCTATTTATGAAGCATTTTTGGTCACCTTGTGTCATTTAGTTTTTGGAAAGCACTCGATCATTCGTAAACCTGGTCAGCCATACACTTGCATAGGTGTCTTTCTACAAAGAATGGGTATCGATATGGCGAACTTTTTGAACACACGTTTCTCTTAAACCAGTCATAAAAAAATTCTGAACATTTTAAACATTGTCAATGTAATGGTCACCTTTTGAATGGTAACAATATAATTTGAAATAGATATGTATACTTTTCTCTATATTGTTTTAGAAACACATCGGACACTACTTTTGTTCTTGGTATCATATGTTCGGAATGAAATGAAACATCTATCCGAACCTCATTGAAACAAAATGACACAACGTGTTTATGTCTCTCAATATTGCAATTATACAAAGGATAGTTTGGTTGATTTAAAAAAAGTATCTTGTAAATGAAATTAAAGGTTTATCTTAGTTTTTATCTATTTTGGGTTTTTTTGTTTTAATTTTTTGTATACTTTTTGTTTAATCAACCAAAATTTCCTTTGTACAAATATAATATTGGGAAGACTAAGAAAATGTTGTATATGCTATTTTGTTCGAACAAGATTCGGAAAGATATTTTATTTCATTCTCAAGAAATGGTAAAAAGAAACAAAAAACAATTAAAATTGCAGCAAAAAACAAAAAATGTGAACAAAAAACAGTAATATAAAATAAATATGAATTATTTTCGCATTGAATTGTTGTCAATCAGTCAACATTACATAAAGGACCGTGTTTTTTACAGAATGTTTTCAATGATTGGTTTAAGAGAAAAACATTGTTGAATTCAGTTCTCCATATCAATACCAATCTTTTTTGTAAAATTCACTGATTGAAAACCGACATTTTTTATGTCGATCGCACCCCCTGACTGAAAGCTGGCTACGCCCCTGCATAGTCATAGTAAATCGCAAACATATTTCGCAAGCCATGTAATAAGTATGAATTTGTCTTACTTAAGGTTGTTGTGGGGCAAAGTCTACTCTATTTGGTCAGATGCAGACAATACCAAGTCTCATCAATGAAACAGTGGTGCGCCAGATTAATATGGTGAACTTTTCGTTGAATGTGGATGCTACCCCGGCAATGTTGTATCGTCCACAAGGGAAGGACTTTTACTTAGAATACAAAGGAAGGCTTACTGACTTTATGAAGTGGAAGGCTGAGTAAGTTGTTGCGAATATACTAATAGTGGAGTGTTAGTCTTCTGTCTTCTGTCAGTCTTATGTTTGTCTTCTTTGTCGTACTATTTAAAACCCTCGGATAATTACTACATATAATTTTCTCAAAGGTGCTTTCATTAATATGATTCCGTTATTTTATATTTCACGTTTTGCATATATAAAATAAACATTTTAAAATAATATAGAATATTTTATTATTACAGAACCACTAAAGATATTAATGCAGGTAAGCTAAGCTAGAATACCTGTGTCAAATATGTAATATATATGATTAAACAGACCATACCTGATTGTTTACAAAGTAACGTACTTTATAATGTAGTTACATCACTCTACTATACCTAACCCCTAGAAATGCATAAGATACTCTGTTTGCATTTGTCTAATTGCATTGTTTAGTATATTTTTGAAAGTACCTTATTAACATCTAACTTCCAACCAATAAACCATTAATAAGGAAAAGCCAAATAAAAACAAATAACATAATCATTACTAATAAGCCAAATGGGTTGCTCATGAACACCAAATGCAAGGTATAGTAGAATGTACATCGAATCATATTGCAGGTAGAATTCGTCGTGGATCTGATGTTGAACGTCCTGGAAAAAGAAGAAAAGTACCAACATTAACAGATACTAGAAATGCTGAAACTTGTCCAATCGCAGGTGTGTACGACTAATTTAGAGATGCTACTGCGAATGAAAATAATATCCACTTATTCGAGTTAACATTTCAAATTTACTTTGCATGTTGTTCGTTTTCACCTTGTATAATGAATTGTTATATTGTAATCGTAGACTTATTCACGCAACATCAAATCACGAGTACTTCTTTTTACTTTAGTGAACAGGTTTAGCAATGTTCCATCATATTGTTTGTATGGATTCCACAAAGATTCATACACACGTTCCGACCTTAGTATAAAAGATTTGGAGAACGAGTGCAAGGAAAAATGCACCAAAGACGATGTTGACACGGTAATGTATTCCATACGAGTACTGCTCAAAACCATCATACGACCAGATATGCTGGTTTCAGCCTCGGCCCTGTCATTTGTAGATAATTTTGTAAAGTAAAATAAAGAAACCATAAAAACTAAAATCATACGACCATCTCCTTGATGTGCTCCAAGCATGATCAATGGAATTACATATTTTCTTTTCATTTAGACAATAGTTTTAAAAATACAAAACAATATACATTATATATTACCATAAGCTAATTCGAAATAAATCTAGAGAATTAATTCCAACACTTTTCTTTATTCAAAGTGCATGATGTGCTATTACCTTTAGGGACGATGTCTCGTGACAGTTACAGATGGTGCATTTGAAGAAGATGAACCTAAGGCTGAGTCGATCGACCAACAAGCAGACGAGTGTTCCGAATATATGAAAGAATATAACATTTGTAATGTATGTGTTCCTTTGTTATGTTTTATTATAGTCCTCCATAATATACTCACAGAACAAGTGATTATTGAAATACATATTTTTCCCAGAAGAATTTTCCCCTTAGATTGTGATAATGGTTCATCTTGAATGGTAGGGGAGGGGGCCATGGCTCAGTTACAAACAAACAGTGTTGCCAGAACTTCTTTTCTTCTAATTTGGTGCACTTATTAAACAATCATACATTGAGGAGTGACATAAATTTCAGGAACATAGCATTAATATAGCCAAAGGACCTATTATGATTTGGTGAACACAATTCAACATTTTTTTCTCTTAAACCAGTTATCGAATCGAAAAATCTCAGTGTTGAAAATAGCTTAATGTATAAGAAGAAATTAACGGAAAATCACCCATGCCTTACATCTCCCTCGACAAGAAAAATCTAGTTGCCCAATCAGTCATCATTAGAACACAACTCCCACATTTCCGAAACCACAATCCACAATGAATCATCGTTTAATATCCCTACCATTCAAGATCCAATATCACAATCAAATATCAGAACACCAAAGGATATTTCATTCATTCTGAAACCTTTGTACGTGTGGAAAGACGATCTACTAAAGATATAAAATTATATTAGTCGAAAATATTTGGAGATACAATTTACATGTGCATACGATATAGAACATTAAGTCTCCAATAAAGTGATTATGATATCATCCAGTCTCAAAGAATCTCAATAAGTAAAAGTAAAACATTTAATGTGACATTTTTAATCTCTGAAAAACTTTTATTTCAGTCCAAGGATATTTCTGACTGCGAAATTGTAGGTGTCAAGCGTGAGCGATCTAAGAGGCTCATAGAAACTCCTTCGTAAGTTAATAAACAAAAAGTCACTTTAAAAGAGGTAAAATGCCATAGCTAATAGTTGAACTTCCTTGCCTGCATAGCTTTTGTTTTGTAATTAAAAAATCTCATTTCTGTATATATATATATATTTCATATTGTTGCTTAATTACTCATTTATTGTTTATTGTGGAATCTTTAAAAATTGTATTACCCATATTGTTCCTCGAAGACGTAATCAATAATGTGATGATATAACGTCAATCATTATACGAAACATAAGAAGTTCATCTTTGCATGCAGATAGAATAGCGGTAATGGAAGATTTAGGTTTATGGGAGATACACCATGGCCTCTCATATCGCAGATACCAAATTGTAACGTCATGTGATCGCAGTAATAGGCCTACTTTTTTCGTTTTTATTGTAGATGGAACAACTGTAAGCAATTCTTCCTCGGTGAGAAGCCTCCAAATTTTCCGACTGGTTCGTCCAGCAACCACAAGAAGATATGTCAGGTTAGTAAAATCATACTTTAAATGAGTAAGAAATGTGAATGCTGTGTCATATGATTCAAGGTCACATTCATATATGATGACTTTATTCTGACCATTATTACAACATGCTTCATTTCAAGAGTCATTTCAAGTCATCAGGATAGCTTAGTAAAATTATGAATCCATTCTTTGAAAACCTTAAGGACCGTATATCATTAATTTTTTCTCAATATCTTACTTTTCTAAAAATGACCTCTCTTTTCTAGTTTTTCTCGTATGCTGGGTAGACTACTTGACGGCCATTTTGAATTTTTTGGTAAAGGGTGAGATATTTATCATCGTGTGTCTTGGGCGATATTTTGAAAAAAAAGTTAATGTAGAGTCCCAATCCATTGTTTGAGAGACCTACATTAATACTTGGAAGAAACAATTTAAAATACAATCTCCGATTCTGTACATCACGTCATTTTTACGGTTTTAAAGATATCGACTTTTAAAAATGTTATGCGATGAAAGCACCTCTTTAAATCCCCTTTGTTTTCATTTTATGAAAACGAGGCTGTATTCGCGGATGCAACTATCGGCTACCGGGTTGGCTGCAATTTACATTGCTTATTTTCTTATATCTACAATTTTCCATCCGTGCCGCAAGTGAAGACTTTGAAAGCTGGCATTAACATTTCAGCCCATCATATGTTACGCCTTGTCGTCGTATTCATTCTAATGAGAAATGCTGTTATATTGGAAGGCAAGGACCAAAAAGGAAATATATGTGACCTATATGCAATACTTACTGATGTAAACTATTTGAGACTCAAAACCAAATTAAACCATATTAGATTGTCACTTCAAAATTACATGAAATATTTTAGGACTTGAATGAAAAAAATCCAACCAAATTCTACTACGCGACATTGTATGATACTAGTCGCAAGATACCTCATTGGTCCGCCTATAAAGTGACAAAAGTTTGTCCGCCGGGATATTCACCACGACCTTCCTATTGGAGAAAGGATAATGGTAAAAACTCTATCAATGATTTATTATTTTTTAAAGCATGAAACTTATATCATTTTTTAATGTTGAGCAAGAGCAATGCATACAGTTGTTAGATTTTACATTCGCTTAATTTAAACTGAGTATTTGACAAATTGTTTTAAAAGGTTTGGGTTGTTCAGATCAGGCGAATGATGCTCATTATACCAATAAAAATAAAGGCAAAAACGATAAGCAATGGGATAGAGGACATCTTAACCCAAATGCAATAAATAACTGTGACTACAAAGAGCAGGCTGCAACCTTTACATTGACTAATGCTGCACCACAAGTAAGTACTGGAAAGATGTTGTTTTGATAGAAAAGAGCAAATCAAAAACATACACTACAATTTTTAAATCGGACAACCTTTAATGACATATTGGAAATGTAATATTTATATTCCTTCTTTGTTTTCCAGTTTTTCTGTATATAAATGCAGAAGTTTTATTGCGATTGCGTTTCATATTGTCATTTTAATGATTTTTAGGTACACAAGTTCAACGGAGCCTCCAGATGGGCAAAATATGAACGATATACCCGGGATTATTTTGTAGACAAGTGCAAGGGAGGACATCTATATCTTATTACTGGTATATATTCTATGCATGATATGCATTTTAATGAAACATAGTAAGGAACCACGACCACGACCACACATAAATAGTTAAATGATACCATTCCCCGTCAAGCAGGTACTAACAAAATTACATTAAAAAAACATGTACCCTGTACTATCTGTATAAGCTATGTACATATTATTTTCGGTTTGTTCAGGTACAATAGGAGACTCAACGGAAAAACCTTTAAAGAATTTTGTCAGGATTCCAAGGTAATTTCTATTGGATATTATACAACCTTTGTTGTAATGTCAAACAAAGCAACTCAATCGAATATAATATATATTGGGTGTCCCAAAAAGTGAATTGCTTTTTGACAAATATTTTCACAGCAATTGATTACTCAAAATTAAAATTTTCAAAGTAGCCTACATGTAAGGGTATCATTAGCAAGTTGTTTATAAAAGAGAGTTCTGTCTCATATTAAATGATATTTGGCAAATTGAAAGATGCATGTAAAAAATCCTATATCAGAAAATCCAAAGAGACCTAGATAGCGTTCGTGCCTGCTATCAGGTGGCAGCAAGTCAATCAGTTTTAGTCCCCAAAACAGCTTGTCTGTGCATCAAGTCTATTTCCAAAAGACGTTCTGTTCAAAGTTTTAGTTTGGAAAAGTAAATATATAAGCGCAAATGCCAAAGGGAGGGGTGACTAAAAACTTTCTAGAAACCTAACAAGAAAAGCAAACTGTGAGTGTAAATCTGTCATAAGAAAAGTAGATCCTATATATCCCAAAACCATGATCTAACGTGAAAAGAAACAATGTCTTACACCCCCCTCCAATCGAGAACCAATATCACAATCCAGGACCAGAACACCAAGGGATATTTCATTCATACTGAAGTCATTACAATACATGTTGAAGAAAATTGAAAAAAAGATGCCTTTAAATGATTAACGATAAGGCTACTATTGAAAACTGTTGAACGGTTTGGGTGGAAGATGAATCGTAAAGGAATTAAGCGCAAGAGTTAGTATCATGTTAGTGTACCACTACGTCCCGCATGCAGAATTATTATGCCATGGGGATCGATGGAAAAAACAAAAGCATTTCTGTTTGGAGTAAAAAAGCTTCTATAAGACTAAATAATTGACTTTTCCATTAGATTGATATTGGATATTTTGGCATGGTGTTATTAATTTAGAATACGCTTAATTGTTACATAGCGGTTCACTATTTTTGGGACACCCGGTATATATTTTTTATTTTTGATTTTTTTTGAAAAGTTCACCCAATTTCAGTTTAAATGAATAAATATGCTTCCGTGTCGATGTCAAGTTAGGCGGTATACGCCATAACCATTGTGAGATCAATACGCAAGTTGCCCCATCGAATACCATGTATGTTTGCAAGTCTTTTGTCTTTTGTCCCTAGTCAAGAACTTCATGTTAACTCAGTTGAGTTTTATGTGTGTTTCAGATATTTCTGGACAGCTGGTTGTTGTGTTAAGGCTTCTTTTAGTAACAACGCTGCAGATTTCATTGGATCGTTTGCATATTATGGGGAAAATACTGAAACGAGTGTGGTAAGATACAGATTTGATCTCATTTTTAACATAATATCAAACGATTTTTAATGTTTTTGACATCCATATCTACTATCTATTATCTTTTTCTCAAACACTTTTGATTTGTCAAACATTTCATTTCCATCATTTTGTATTGACGCCATTCTTTTTATTTCTCTCAAAAAATCTTCATAAAGCACATTTCCTCCAGAACTTTTAGTTTCTTTAACCTTGTCTATGAAAAGCAAAATTTTTATTCGTTTTTTATGCGTTTCAGATTAAAAACCTACAAGTGTCTGCTTTGGAAACATTCCTCGGAAAAGGCGTAAAACTCTTCCTTGGCTACCCGTCTTGTGGTACCTCTACGAATACTCCTAAGTCAGACTTGGAAAAATATCTTACTGATAAAAAGAAAAAGCTTTAATATGGACATTTCCATCTTCCTCTCCGATTTCCGTGTAAATTACATACTGAGTAATACCAATTTAAATTAATAAAATGAGCAGCTGAAATATAAAGAGATTCCATGATCCAAACGACAAATCAGCTACATGATGCACCATTTAGAGGTTTTGCATTAGATATCTCACACTCAGTAAACAGAAATAATGGTTCTTAAGTTGCTACTTTGGGTGGATGGATGGATTTGGTTCAAATGTTATATGCTGTGTCTAGAGACAAAGGAGCTATTAATCAAAATGGCTGCCATTTACCGTTGCAAATGTAATATTAATAAATAGTATATGAGAACGATAGCTTCTTGGACATCTAGATACAAATATTATGTTGCATTCAAAATGATTTAAACTATATGTTAACAAACATGCAAGTACAATGATATGACATGGTCTACAACCAACGACATCACGGATCTTGCCAATACCATGGGCTTTCAATTAGAGTTGAAAACCCATGCCAATACATACTAGCTTATTATGTGCAGCTGGTGAGTGTGCTAGCTGTGGCCACTCCGTAGTAGACGTTTAGTCGTTTTAACAAAATATAATTTTCGCTTTTTACGTTTTTTATTAGTTGGGAGAATTCAAACATTTTCCTTTTAGCACTTTGAAACTTAAACAACTTCACACATTGATAACTTATCGTGGATCTTTTGGGAGATATTCTATTTGAGATTGTAAGGAATATAGATTGGTAGGTCTGTGGCTTCCTGGTCATCTCAACCCCAAGTCAACTCAACCCAGTAAAACTCAACCCCAAGTCAACTCAACCCCAAGTCAAGTCAACCCCAGTAAAACTCAACCACAAGTCAACTCAACCCTGTAAAACTCAACCCCAGTAAAACTCAACCCCTATATTTCTAAATATTGATAAACTTATAAGAAAGTTTATTTCATAAAAATAATTCTGATTATTCAGTTTTCGATTTTCATTCTTAGACCACTGCCTTTTTATTAGATTATAGTTAATAATGAGTTTATCTCCAAAATCTCAACATGGTACTAATAGGATTAAGATATGGGTCACTTAATTAATCTTGCTAATACATTTGTTTTGTTGTAATCCCTATGAGGTTGACACTCGCGATTATTTGGAAAACTGGAACATGACCATTGCTTTCCAGGGGCATAGCCCGCTTTCAGTCAGGAGGGATGCGATCACCCAAAAAATCAGGTTTACAGTCAGGGGTTGCCAATAAAGGCATAAGCGAGCCAAAAAAAGATATGTTTTGACAAAAAATGATGCAACTTCCTTCAAAATTGGGGGGAGGGTGTGTGCGCTCCCCTCCTGGCTACGCCTATATGTTTTCAGTCTATTATTAATAAATGTTAATGATTTTGTTAATGCATGTTCATATAGATAAAAAGTTATATAACATTGTTAATTATTTCTAAATTATCTAAAATTTGATTTCAAAAGATGTCTTAAATTAAATAATAGTGACAACTAGATGAATCATCCTTGAGCTTAACCATTTTTTGGAATACTTTTACAACTTTCTATTCAAAGTTTCATGCAAAATGCTAGATTTTCAGAAATAAATGACTTAAATCATTCATCATAAAAAATTAAATTGCACATTGCAGACATTGCACAAATAGGGTTGAGTTTTACTGGGGTTGAGTTTTACAGGGTTGAGTTGACTTGGGGTAGAGTTTTACTGGGGTTGACTTGACTTGGGGTTGAGTTGACTTGGGGTTGAGTTGGACTGGGTTGAGATGACTTGGGGTTGAGATGACCTGTCACCGGTCTGTGCACGTTACTTACAATTTTGTCTCAAATCTGATTCTTCCTTTAATTAAGGTAGTAGTATTGACTGTAAAGGTTTGTTATGTACCTAAACAGCTCTATAGTCGAGCTAATTCTGTGTGTGTGAATGAGTGTATGAATGTTACCTCTGGTGTGTTTTAGCACTAGTTCCCTCTAGTCAGACTGGCTGATAGAAACAACCTTTTAGGGTTGAAGAGTTGGCCGAAGCACGGTGTCCAACCCAAACGCTCTTACATGCACGACGGATTGTTTCATTACTGAATTCGAAACTAAACAAAGAAACGCTCCGGAGTAGGAAAACTGGCGGCCGGGAATGATGAGCCGTCTGACGATTTCCCCCATAATAAGAGGTATGAGTTACTTATTTCGAGTATACCATTCGATGGGTGTGATACCCATTTTGTACTTGGTTGGCTATTGACGTTTGAAGCAATTAGGAAGAGCTGTACGAAGCAGTATAGTTATCAAAATTCATAAACGTAATTGTCATTCTACATGTCAAAACGCCTTTTGTCGAGACATGTGATTAGTTGAGCCAAGATTAGAACACCAACCTATATTTTGGTCAAATTTCAATGCTACAACTCACCACACATTATCGTAATTGTGATTTGATGACCGAAAATCCAATATTAAAAATGATACCATTCTCATATTCAAGAAACGCTGCGACCTGGTTAACACAGTGAACTGCAAACGCTGCGGTAGTCTAGATCTGTTTAGGAAATATATAGCTGCTTGAATTTCCCTTTCCATTGGCATCAAAAGAAAAAAGATTAATTCACATATTAACTTTTTGTTTTTGTCAATAGTTTTATGTTTTAGCACACATAAAGGCATAATATCATCTAATGTAGGCTTAGGTCGGTTAGTTGCACGTTTGGCACCACCAGGTTGGGACGTTTCAATTTGCCTAACAAGTACAGCACGTTTTTGAGAGATAGATTCGATTCAAAACTCTTCTCTAATAATCTGAAAATAATACCAAAACAAAATGACAAAACAAAATGGCAAGAGCGTTTCTAAAATTGTGTCCTAAATCGACAGAGCGTTTCGAGGAAAACAAGCGATTTCTTGAGAACAAGTAATGGATTTGGACTGGGATTTTAGAAAATGAGAATATAGGTTTGTGATCTACTACTTTGACAGAAAGATTGACGTTTTCATATAATAAATACTAGTTTAATTCGTAATTTGTGGTCAATTCGTCAACTTCAGATTCGTTCGATCTACACCACGGAGCTTTGATCAAGTCAATAACAGTTTACCACCAGAAGTTGAATATTAATAAGATCTTTGCTCAGGGTATTGTTCATCGAATGGTACAAAATATGTCATCATGACGTATGATATGTAAGAGAAACGAGTGAAACAATACTTATGGTCATAGTGGGATCTTCATTAGCCGCCATTTTATTTCGCTCCGCAGCGTTTCCGCGTGAATGAAACGCTCCGTCATGCATGTGAGAGCGTTTTGGTTGGACACCATGCGAACGGTCTAGAACGCTGAACAAGCCATGCTATTCACAATCTACAAGTATGCTCAGCATTGCAGTGGAGTTCAAATATAAAAATACAACCTCAGTTTTGCAGCCACTCGACTCTCCTCATCCCTCTGGCTGCCATAACGATCGATCAGGCCTGATCAAGTGTCGAAAGTAATCAAAATCAAATAAAAACTGCCTCGTGAGTAAAAAATATGGCGCCAACTCACTTCTCGCCGTCTCTCGCGAGATATCAACCCTTACATAAAGTAGTTACCTAACAAAATGCTTTACATTAAAAATACCCTTGCAAAATAGTTTTCCAGATACAAAAGCTATAGCTCAAGTAACTATATTTTACTTATGACCTTGCAGCGGTACTATTCTCGCTCCGAGTGGAAGAGAAGTAGCAACACCGGGGGAAAGGTTGGCATTTCATTTAAGAGTAAAATATGACTAGCCAACCCAAGGTCGCTACACAACCATAGGCTGGTCATAATTGTAGACAATAGGGAGGTTAAGCTACACGATTTCGAGAAATTGGTAAAGTATTATGGATTACCTTTCCTTTCCGATCTCACTTGTTTTTTCCAGGAACCTAGTTGCAACTATTTTCTTTATACTTTCTTACCCAATCGGCTTAGTAAATACTACGAAGAGGAGAACTAATCCACAGAGAGACGACCGTTCACGTACACATTCTCTTAAAAATGCGGAGCTTAAACTCCCTATTCACTTCCTATAGAACTGATCGTCAAGTTCTTGTCTCTATGTACACATATCAGTGTTCTCCCCCCAAAAAATTTCAACTGGGTGCAAGATTTCAAGTCTGAAAAAATTAGCACTCGCAACGCTCACAATATCTCTGTGTAGGTGCTTACTTCAATCTTTTTTTAAATCAGAAGTTGAAGTGCAGATGCCAACTGGGTGCCAACTGGGGGCCTTTGATTTCAAGTAGGGAGAGCCCCCGGTAAAAGTGACATGGGGAGATCACTGCATATCATACACTGTATCAATAATACACGCAATAAAACAAATCATGAAGAGAGGCTTGAAAAAGTACTTTGTTAGAGATACAATAACATTCTCATTTACAATTGGGCATTATATGACACATCAGTTAGCACTACACAAATGAGGCATTTACAACACAAACAGATCCAATCTGCTCTTACTTCTCATGTGTGCTATTTTTCCACATAGTCGAGAATATACAAAACTAGTTTACCCCGTTTCTTGTCATATTTTCGAGCATAGCTTAAATGAATAAATAAATAAGTAAGTGAGTAAATACAGTTTTGATGTTGAAGTATTTCAAACCGTGATCCATAAAGGTTCACATTTACGAAGAAAATCATGTTATGATTTTCACTATTTTTATTGCGGATTTAGTTTCATACGTCAAATGTTCATTCCATTATAAATACATTCAAAGCTCTCTCACAGCATGTATAACACAAGGCATTAATATGACAAAATGTCACCACCTAGTTGCTCACAATATTATGAGTTCAAACTTAAGTCAGATTTGAATTTCTGAGAACTTGTAAAGTCAAATTTGAACTTCTGAAAAGATGTAGAGGATTTTGAAAAAAAAAATTTGGTCAATTTGAAGCAAGTTGAAAACAGACCTTTTTTGACCTTGAGAAGGTCATTAAAGGTTAAATGTCAAATCTAAAGTCAAATCTAAAGTCATATTTGAATTTCTGAGAACATGTAGATGATTTTGAAAAAAAATTTAGTCAATTTGAAGCAAGATGAAAAAATAACTTTTTGACCTTTTTTGACATTGAGAAGGTCATTGAAGGTCAAATGTCAAATCTAAAGTCAGATTTGAATTTCTGAGAACATGTAGATGATTTTGAAAAAATTTTTTAGTCAATTTGAAGCAAGTTGAAAAAAGACCTTTTTGACCTTTTTTGACTTTGAGAAGGTCATTGAAGGTCAAATGTCAAATCTTAAGTCAAATCTAAAGTCAGATTTGAATTTCTGAGAACGCGTAGATGATTTTGAAAAAAAATTTAGTCAATTTGAAGCAAGTTGAAAACAGACCTTTTTTACCTTTTTTGACCTTGAGAAGGTCTTGAAGGTCAAATGTCAAATCTTAAGTCAAATCTTAAGTCAGATTTGAATTTCTGAGAACACGTAGATGATTTTGAAAAAAAAATTAAGTCAATTTGAAGCAAGTTGAAAACAGACCTTTTTGACCTTTTTTGACCTTGAGAAGGTCATTGAAGGTCAAATGTCAAATCTAAAGTCAGATTTGAAGGTCAAATGTCAAATCTAAAGTCAGATTTGAATTTCTGAGAACATGTAGATGATTTTGAAAAAAAATTTAGTCAATGTGAAGCAAGTTGAAAAAAGACCTTTTTGACCTTGAGAAGGTCATTGAAGGTCAAATGTCAAATCTAAAGTCAGATTTGAACTTCTGAGAACATGTAGATGATTTAGAAAAAAATTGAAGTCAGTCTAAACAGTATTTGTTAAGTTATAGGAAGTTGTAAGAAATTGTTACAGACGCCGGACGCCGGACGCCAACCTCCAACCACCAACCGCCAACCACCAACCGCCGTCGCAAAAAAACGGAGACCATAACAATATGTCACCACTTTTGGTGGTGACATAATTATGTCTACTGCATAGCTAGTAATATTGAGGTTGTTTAAAATTCAGATAATGTTGGTTTGCATGAAACGAAATGCATTCGAGTAGGAAGTCATCTGACTATGCTAAAAATTCGTACCGCTTCGTGAAACAGACCCATCGTTCCGTCCTATAGTTAAGATAGTGATACAATACGTATATTTTGTTTTCATATTTAAATGTCAAAGGCTCATGTGTTAAGTGTATGTCCTACTAAAAACATGTATTTTATTCATATGGCAACAGGACAACTCATCCCAAGGTAGCTCATCCCCAAGACATCTCATCCCAAGACAACTCATCCAAACTTGAAATATAACACAATTCTATGCAACTAATTTCAACTCTTGGAAGAATATTTAAGCAGTAAATAAGTTGGGTGAGTTGTTCTCTTGGGATGAGATGTCTTGGGATGAGATGTCTTAGGGATGTGTTGTCTTGGGATGAGTTGTCCTTGGATGAGTTGTCTTAGGGATGTGTTGTCTTGAGAGTTCTCTAAGAAATTTGTTGTCTTAGCCTAGGATGAGTTGTCTTGGGATGAGTTGTCTTAATGATGTGTTGTCTTGGGATGAGTTGTTCTCTTAGGATGAGTTGTCCTAGGGGTGAGTTGTCTTAGGGACGTATTGTCTTGGGGTGAAATATATTGCGATGAGTTGTCTTGGGATGAGTTGTCTTGTTGTCTTGGGATTAGTTGTCTTAGGTGTTGTCTTGGAATAAATAGTTTTTTTGATGAGTTGTCTAAAAACCTTTTTATAACGTCCGCTACCACGATCCTCAACGTAGTTTAAAAAGGTCGGTTTTGGACAATTGTGATACCCTTTGATATTCTAACTTTGGGAGGTGTATTGTACATGTGTGTTAATTTAGTTTAATACTCACTGGCAAGTTTCACCTCGTACGTTAAATCAGTTGCTTTTAGGGCAAAATTAATCTTTTCCTTGGCGGTGAAACTAATTTAGGGTTGATATGGGAATTGATCGTTGCTAAAAGTTGCTGATTGGAAAAAATCCTGTCTACATATATGTAGACCTTACATATTTAATATTAAATTCTGGGCCCCACATCTGAAAATTTGGCCCCAATTTCTTGATAAATAGGTCCAACATTAAAAAAATTATGAAAAAAACTTAAGATGGGAAATATTGAATCTATACAATGGTGCCCACCCCATTAATTTTCTCAATCTGAGGTACATTATACACGATGTATAGTTGTTTAGTTTGGTGCTCGCCAAAAATCGCAATCTGTTTACCCTATAATTTCATGGGTGATTTTCATGCTTATGACGCTAAACGAGATAAGTCGTGATTTTCTTATTGTTAAATTTGTTAGCTCTTATATATTTGTTTGAATCATACCCGGTTGTTGATAAAGGGGTTAGTTCGTTTGTAAATCAGGGTTAACAGGTACAAAATGCATTATTTTCACATTAAATAGGCGCAGTAATTTATTTCTACCATATAATTTTGAAAGAGTGATTGAGAAAGTAAGTATATAGTAATATTCCAGTTGATTCATGGAAATCAAAATAAGAATGTCAATTTACTGTTTTGCCAGTTTGAAAAAAGTTTATATTTACATCGAAAACACCATTTTAATTTGCCTTAAAAGTATTTAAAATTTGTTTTCCGTTCCTGCATACGCACAATTAATCGTAGAAGATTACCCTACATGTTTTCAACAAAACTAAATGAAAACTAAAATGCCCACGCAGTAAAATGACGTCAGATAAGTCTACTTTAATACATGTTTGATAATATAATTCGTTCCACGAAGGCTTATATTTCCAACAAACCCGATTACCCAATCTAGTGCGTGCAAAGTGGGGTATGAAGGCCATGTTTACGATATATCCATTTGCAAGTGCACTTTAAATTTTTTCCAAACCGGTTTATTTATAAAAGTGCGAACCATTAATATCTTGGTGGGGTACTTATTATTTAGTTGTTGTCAAGTTGGACCTTTCTTTTAGAGTAGGAATTTTACCCAAACGAATTATTTTCTATCATAGAATATTGGTTTTGCTTTTAACAAACTAAGAAATAAGAATTAAAAAGTAACAACAAAGGAATACAAACAATAAAGAAATCACTCATTAAATAATACAATTACAAACAAACAAACGAACATACAAACAAATCCAAATCTAGCCCATTAAACATGTACATTTTTTTTTTGAAAAGTACAACCCTGCCCGTGGATTTTAACAAACGAGCCCTCGGCTGAAATACTAATGGTAAATCCCCAAGAAACAATGTTTATAAGTACAATTCTAAGCGATTTAATTCATTGAACATACCAGGAGCGTTGCGCAAACCATAACAATACAGAGGTACCTGCAGTATAGTAAGTTCAATTATCATTGTTGTTATTTTCCCTTAAAATTAATTTGATAGCTAGCTATAAAAAGGGGTTCGTTTTTCCATTGATTGATTTACATAAAATTAAAGTAAAACCCTTAATTTATTTATTGAACTATTTTCTCTGAAAATACAAACGTAACATACTAATGCGCCATAACGTATTTAACACATGGTTTTATTATAATGCACAGGTTTTAAAGAAAGAGACATAAACGCTTCGTTTTCAAGATGCGTCTTCCGGCCTATGCTACTATGTTTTCTATCATCGTGTTATTGATAGGGATTCATCATGTCTACGAAAGCGAGGGTAAGTAGTGTAGTTTTTATCATTTAAAAACAATAGTCCTTTCTAATCATACGGATTGACACGTCGCAAATAGTTCGCGCACGTATTGTTACACATTTTCGCTTTTTAACACGACAGAATGTGACGTTTTTGAGAAAAATGTACACATTTGGAAATCCTTTCGTCCTCCACATTTGCCTCTATATCTCAAACTATCAAAATATAAATATCTGCGTAATATTGGAGTTACGAATTTATATAAAGAATGCCGAGGGAAATATTACCTAAATCTAATGCATTGCAAAGGTCTGCGTGAGACCCTCACGCGAGGAGGATCGGAATTGAATTTGACACAAAGTATTGTTCCATGGGGTCAGCTGCATGGGGTGATATTTTGTCAGTTCAATTCTTTCCGGGAGTGGCGAAATTCTCATTCCGGCTAATCGCAACTTTATTTGTTCAGCTTATAATATCCCAGATTCCCAGGGTGGAAAAATTAACTCACAAGGTCGCTTCCAGCGTAAGTAATGTGACAAGGCCAATTTTTTCTTACCGCATGGGGTATCACGCAAACCAATAGTGCAAATAGTTAACCATATTACAATAAATCCGAATTATCTCGTCAAAAACAAGATATACAATGTATAATTGCAAAAAAACATTATGTAATACTTGGGCTACGTTCAGAAATTAGTTTTGGTCACTGCAGCGCAAAATATGTAGAGTAATATCAACAACAGATTGCCAACAATTTGTCACCACCATGATCAAGAGCTGGATGGGGTACATTATCACGCAACTCAGTTAAGCCAAGTAACTAAGTCAACATTCGAAAATAAAAATCTCAAAAATCGTACATCTTTGATTTCCAAAATAATTTGTGAGGTGGTTATTAAGATGATAATACACATTTTAACGTATTAATTTTGAGTACATCTCGAATCCATTCTCAACAAAGCGTTGTCGAAATAAGGATTCGAAATATTTGAGTTCGGGATGATAAAAGTACGCTAAGATATACCGCTCCTTAACAAACTCCTTTGGGAACAAGATATAGAATCAAATGCATATTCTTCTTATTTACTCCCTGACACATGCCAACGAATGTTACATAAGTTAATATCTCCATTTTAAATAATTTTTTAAACGCTGTTCTCTACAGGTGCCATTTTTTATAATTGAAAAACAAAATTGAACATTTTGCATTTCTAAATTGATAAGTTTCTTGGAATACAACTTAACTGTTAACGATTTAAGTCATTTATAATATTTCCCTCAGTGATCCCATGCTAAATAGACAGTAACTAGGTTATTATTTTGTGTTCAACCTTGTTTTCATGACTTTTAAACATGAGTCGACAATTATGTAGGATATTTCAATTCCAAATCTAAGCGTGTCAACTCCTGTTTTTGCACAAAATTTAGCCTTTTATAAAGATAGATCGCCAAAATCTGCATGTACCTCTCAATGAGGCGACACGTTTTTAAATGTATAGATGCTGAGCTATAAACTCAAACAAAAATTCAAACCACCCGCTATTATTTTGATTACACTAGACGAAATTTCCACTCCCGGGGAGCACTGTGGTAACACTTTGAAGGAGGATTCTTGAAAAATCGTTCGAATTTTCACAAAAGGTTTCACGCAATTTTATTGCTTTGTTTAAGCCTCAACTGGAATCATACTCAAATCCGATACCATAATTATAAACCAAAATGAAACATTAAACTCAGGTCAGGTTATATGATAAACTGTTTCGAGAATTGATGATTTGAATTAACTGTGTATATTTAAATAAATGTAAGTCGGCATGTATTCGACAGTTAATGTAGACACATGATGTATGCATCCACGTGTGACTTAAATATCGATTCATGACTATCATTTTTGGCTTTCAAAAATTAAGTTGGAAGTTACAGTGGTTGGAGATTAACAAAAACGTCAATCACATCCGAATATCCGAACGACGTCAAGTATTAACAATACCCTTTCTGTGCATCTCGAACAAGGCAAGGTTCTGTGATCCAACAATGTGCATTCCGAAAGAAAAAATTCACAATGTCAACAAATTTCATTGAGTTGGATATTACATTCGAAATCACAACTTTCGAAATGTTTGTTTTAAACAAGAATTGTAAGAACTTAAAACATGTTATTAGTTTTTCAAACCGCATTTCCTCATTTACGTTCTTTGACAAGGATGAATTCATTAGAAAACATGGATTTTCTTGATTATTCTTCAAAACTACCCTTGAAATATAAGTATGTGGGATATTACAGCATAAATTGACACGCATTTGTTTGCTCCATATCATGAGAAAATAAATGCAGAACCATCTTTCAATATTTGGAAAAAAAAGTTCATTCTGTATGTAAACAAGAAAAAATACATTTGTGGTTGATTCATAATGAAAAATAACAAATAACATACGTCTTTTTAAGTAGGGGTATACAGGGACACAGTGGAAATTCAGAAATATAGGCCATATCCCAAAGACTGCTTCACCAATATGTAACAGAACATCAAATTTATCATTTACACGTTTGCTGATAGGTTTATTGAAAATAATTAAACAGAGGTTTACTTCAATTGTGGCACCATTCTTAGTTAATACTGATGAACATACGAATATCGAATGTTGACTAAGTTACTTGGCTTGACCGAACTATCTTGACGCCATCCGCTATATGCAATAATATTGATATCGTATCTGAAAATTTGAAAAACATGTTCAAGTTTAAAATTGCTCAAACGTAATGAATATTGTTTAATTCTCATTTGAAAAAAGTTTAATCACAAAAGTAATTAATTCATTATCATTAGTACTAACTATAAATAAAAGAACCTTAAAAGAAGAATCTCAAAATGTGTAACAACAATCTGCAACTGTCAACTGCAATGTAGCTAGAATTTGATATAGATGGGGCCCTTTTACAATGGTGTTGCGTTTTTGTGATGAAAGGGGAACGAAAACTATCATTATTTTCGTAGTTTCAATTAAGAAATATCTGAATTAATTTTTTTCAAAGTTTTTATGAAGCAATTTACCTCGCTTGTATCACTAATATGCTCTTTCCAAAATATCCAAATTGACTTTGACGAGTTTACTTCTGGATAATGCAAAATGTTGTATTAAAAGAGACCAGCTTATTGCCTTAGGACAGTGTGGGAAAAGCGACTCAAAATATATTTATTCAAAACAATTTAATCCGAGAAAAGCCCAAAGGGGTTGTTTTATGTATAATTGCGCATGCGTAAACCAACCATTATTACGCTTAATGCGATAACGTATTTATATTTTTTATTTAAGCTGTTGCTGCCTTGGCTGTCCTCAAGGGCATTTTTTACCTGACGTCAGCTGCTACGATTTCCATTTCAATAACAAACTTCGCATCGGAGGGATGTGCATTCTATCCTCAAATATGCAGTTTAAAGGTAATACGGCTTAAAAAGGTAATATCACCTTAAAAGGTAATACCACCTTAAAAGGTAATATCTCCTTAAAAGGTTATTCCACCTAAAAAGGTAATATCTCCTTAAAAGGTAATATCACCCTAAAGGTAATACCAACTTTTAAGGTAATAACCACCTTTTAAGGTAATATCACCCTTAAAGTAATACCACCTTAAAGGGCATACCACCTTAAAAGGGTATGCCTTTCTGAAGGTAATACAACCTCAAAGGTTAAAAAAGTTAAAAGTTATATTACATTTAGCAAAATAAATGATTGTTTAAGCGATCATCCAATAAGTGCCATTTAATAACATTCTTGTTAATTTTAGGATTTTTGTTTCATTTTGACATGTCTGTGTGTCATTTGAGTTAATTAAAAATAATGGTTTTTGTTAAGTTATTTTCCCATAGTTATCCCAATAGGTATGTACGTAATTAGCCCGTAATTCATTGGCGTTGTGTGACAGTGTACAAATAGTGACTGCCATTGAGGGAAATAGTGCAAAATATTTTCCTCGAGGGAATATCCTGTCCACTGACATGTTCCCGAGGCTGCAGGCCGAGGGAACAAGTCAGTGGACAGGATATTCCCGAGAGGAAAATTTTTACACTATTTCCCGAAAATGTGGCAGTCACTATTTGTTTTATTATATACCCGATAAGTACTCTGTAAACAAAAACAAAATGTTATATTTGTCGTATTTGTTAAATATGCCCAGGTAATCTAATAACAATAAATTAATTAATTCAATTTGTTTCAAAATATCATGTACTTATCCGATTCATACGCTTTAATAACAACAAAGATGCATGATAACCCGATTTTAAACATGATTAAGACCAGGTTACGTGTATGACATGATATACTCCTAAAACTTCCTATTTTGTTCTGACTATGTGTTAATACCACCTTAAAAGGTAATATCACCTTTAAAGGTAATACCACATTAAAGGGTAATATCACCATAAAAGGTAATATCACCCTAACAGTAATACCACCTTAAAAGGTAATGTCACCTTAAAACAGTAACATCATCGAATTTATCATCGGTTTTCCATATACCTTAAATATATATACTTTATATATTATAGACTTGTTCATATTACTAGATAGTGGAGAGGTTAAGCTAACGATGTTTTTCACAACGTAACCGTGAACGCAAAGTACAAAAATTAACAAAGGAATGTATCGAGCGCTCATAGTTTTATGCGCGCTTAGTCTACTTCAGATACTCTTTCAGCTTCAGAGTTTCGGGTTTAGAACGGGAGATTTGAAATTTGACGTTGGGTCAACGGGAACCATTTTACTCGTGTCTATTGAACACTATGCTGTCAATTTTGATTTCGATGCACAGTTGAATTCTTGCTGAACACGATAATGTATGTCATGCATGATTTAGCACCAAAAATCTTACGAAACGAGCTCGTTTAAAATATGTATTAGAAAACCAGCTATAAAACCGCATCAATGACATACTATAGAATCATTACACGCTATGGTGTAGTCTAAACAAACACTGGATTTGAACGGCTATTTATATGAGAAGGCTACATGAATTTGTATATGGCCAGTGATACGTACAGGTTCAGTTTCGATTATATATGCAAAGCTTAACCTCTCCAGTATTGAAATCCTCGACCTAATATGGTCATATATATTTTTAAACCAAACCACTAGATACAATGTTTTTTTTACATAAACATTTGCTCTCGACCCCCTTCTCTATTTCACAGGTTTCAAATAGTTAACGAAAAGAACTACGTACATACATTATGTATATGTCATTATATCTAAGGGGCCAATAATCACAAGGGGGCCAACAATGCTATGTAGCCTCGGCCCCTCACAATCTATGTAAATAATTATGTTGAATTGTATACAAATAAATAACAATAACCTATAAAACAGAAAATAATAAGTAAATAAAAATAGAATAATAGTTAACCAGGAAATTATAATTTCGTTTTACTAGGATAAAATTAAAGTCAAGGAACCACAAGTTGAGGCAATTGCTGCCGGTCTAAAAGATGACGCTGCCCTGCTGAGAGAAATGGACGGTGTGAACACGGCGTTGTACAACACTCTTAATTCGGCCAATGTCAAGAATGAACGAATTGTAGGCAAATTAGAGATGATTCGGGATTATTCGGCCGATATCGTTCAAGTAAGTACAAGGGCACGTTGTTTAATTTGAGTAACTCTGATCTCTCTAGATGAAATGTACATGCTCAAAAGGAAAATGGGACTTTAGTGTTTTTGATCTCTCTCGATGAAATGTACATGCTCAAAAGGAAAATGGGACTTTAGGGTTTTTGATCTCTCTCGAAGAAATGTACATGATCAAAAGGAAAATGGGACTTTAGTGTTTTTGATCTCCCTCGATGAAATGTACATGCTCAAAAGAAAAAATGGGACTTTAGTGTTTTTGATCTTTCTCGATGAAATGTACATGCTCAAAAGGAAAATGGGACTTTAGTGTTTTTGATCTCTCTCGATGAAATGTACATGCTCAAAAGGAAAATGGGACTTTAGTGTTTTTGATCTCTCTCAATGAAATGTATATGCTCAAAAGGAAAATGGGACTTTAGGGTTTTTGATCTCTCTCGATGAAATGTACATGCTCAAAAGGAAAATGGGACTTAAGTGTTTTTGATCTCTCTCGATGAAATGTACATGCTCAAAAGGAAAATGGGACTTTAGTGTTTTTGATCTTTCTCGATGAAATGTACATGCTCAAAAGGAAAATGGGACTTTAGTGTTTTTGATCTCTCTCGATGAAATGCACATGCTCAAAAGGAAAATGGGACTTTAGTGTTTTTGATCTCTCTCGATGAAATGCACATGCTCAAAAGGAAAATGGGACTTTAGTGTTTTTGATCTCTCTCGATGAAATGTACATGCTCAAAAGGAAAATGGGACTTTAGTGTTTTTGATCTCTCTCGATGAAATGTATATGCTCAAAAGGAAAATGGGACTTTAGTGTATTTGATCTCTCTCGATGAAATGTACATGCTCAAAAAGAGAATGGGACTTTAGTGTTTTGTATACACGGGTGTCATTTTTACACTTAAATCATCAAAAAGTCTGAAGAGTCAATTATACTCCATCACATTTATCGCCGTTATTAAGCAAACTGGCCGGAAAAATCGACCTAGATTCTTTCCTAATCAACCTAGAAACGCTTTCCACTGGTACACATTTTAAGATTCTAATCCCATATAAAGTCCTGCACAAAGTACCTGAAATAATCTTTTCAATCGGATTATATACTTGGAATTGATTAAGATTGTTCAATCCACTTTCTTACCCGGATGTAGCACTGATATGTTTTTCACTTCCACTTCTGCCCTTACATTGCCTCAATGTACCCAAAGTTTATAGGGGATACCTATTAAACACCCGGATAAAACGAATAACATGGAGGTTAAGCCATACTCTTTTTAAAAAAAGTGTACGTGAACGTGTAGAATAGTCCTCTGTTCTTCCATTTGTAGCGTTTACCTGGCTGATTGATCATATTAGATATACGGTAAATAGTTGTAATAAGGTCCTTGCAAAGTGATTTTAGAGCGGGACAGTAATCCCCGGGGGTCGAAATATACACGCTCACGTACAGATTCTCTTAAAAACGTGTAGTTCAATCCCGGGGTGTGGGGGGGGGTCCACTGTGTACAAAATTCGACGGAGGTCCTAGGTTGAACCCTCAGGGAGTTAAACTCCCTAATGTCTGCGGAATCAACCAATGAAAAATTAACATTCAGTATGAAAAATTAACACACAAACTTAAAATCAGTCATTTGATGTTTTAGTTACTTGAAACAGTGGCTGGTATAGAGGTGACGAACATCGATCCCGACCAGATGGATACAGACGTTAACGCTATCCAGACGAACATTATAAGTAGGCTTTTTTGCTAATTTTTGTATATTTATACCTTTGTATAGACATATCTAGAATGTAATACCCGATAACATCTGGCTCAATGATAAATTTTAGAAGCATTTCAAATCTGAACTCCTTAAATATTATATTTAAGAAATATAGACCGACGAGGAGGGGTAATATTGTCGAATACACCCCTCGGGGCTAGGCATAAACGTTTTCTGTACCCCAAACGACCGAAGGGAGCTTTTGTGCCAAGCCCTAAGGGGTGTATTCGACGTTATTACACCTGCTTTGAGGTCTATATTACGATTCAAACATGAAAAATCACTTAAAGTCCCCGTCTAAAGTTTGAAAATATTTTTTTATCATTCATTTACTATTTGTCATGACTTAAGATTGATCAAAGGTCACACTATTTCAATAATAAAATGCCATATTTAATGGGCCACTTCAATGTTTTAGCATATAAAATATTTTGCACCATTAGTCTCGATGTCAATCTTTTCTACATATGCTAGACTTCAATAATATACCAATGTTGATTGTCTAACCAGGTTAAAAGGAAGAATATATTATGTTTTAGATATCATTGTACCATTGGTTTCTATGAGAACTAGAATTTTTAAATGCATTTTTCTCGGAACCATTTTCATGCACTGATAAGTTCATTTCTCGCTTATTTATGAACCGATTTTCTTAATTCTTTCGGCAAAAACATGCAAGGATGAATGCTATGCATTGGTGTGAGTTGTGGCTAATTAAAATTTATGTGTGACCTCTAAAAGTTAGTTTTAAATAAATTCACAAATTTTGGAACAAAAAGTCTATCAAAAACCACTTTTTGAAATTAAAAAAAAAAGTTTCACATATCACACTTTGATAACATTGGGTAAGACTACAATATAAGCCAAAGTGGTTTAAACTTTAGATGGGGACTTTAAATGTTTCAAATATTCATTATGGTCCGCCATTACTACGGCCGCCGTTATGACGTCACACATTACTCGTATTACCAGGGGTATTATTCGCGAATATAACCCGGGTGAAATATTGACTTATTAAAATATTGAATGTTCACAGCTAATAGAAGGCGTGAATTCAGTCATGTTCGAATCTACTGTTATTCCCTTAAAGGATTTTGAATAAAGAAACATGTGTCGATCCTCTAGTTTTATTTCGGATTATTATATACACAATATATATGTATATATTCATGTTTTTTTATACTTCCGCAGCAGCAAAAGTCAAAAGGTAGTTTTTTCAGAAAGTTAAAACAGTTTTTCAAAAATATAAATGTAACATATACGTTATTTTGTATGCAGGTGTGCAATCATCAATTAAAAGCTTGGAGGAGCAGATGAAACAGTACAAATACATACACGGGGCATTCCTGGCGATTGAAATTCTCCCAAAGGCGATTTATTTCGCTAATAACCGATACAAATGGTACCAAAATAAGAAAATGATGACGGGACTTGACACAACAAACTTTCAGAGAGCTAAGATTCAAAAGCTTCAAACGGCACAGGCACAGACAGGAGGAAGATTGGGAGCACTTAATACATACTTGAAGAGCCATCCTAAAGTGGCAACAGGTCTGAAAGTGGCAGCTTATGGAATGGGATTTCTGATGAACGGTAAGATGTCGTAAATTGTGTAAAAGTTCCAACATAATTTTATTTAATGGTGTTCTGATGAACGATCAGATTTCTTTGATGGGCCTATATCTATTAAGTTGTATTGAATACATGGTGGGTCTGAAAAATGATATCTTCGTATAAAATGCACGACATTTCTTTGATTTAGAAAAACGAAGTAATTTGTATGTTAGATTGTACTGGTATATGTTTCTCTCATATCATGCATTGATGATAATAGCATATTACATGTTGTATGTTTTAGCTTAAATGTGTCATGTCATCTTAGCAACATAACCCTCTCCATAAGTTTGGCAATCTTAGCTTGGTTGCCAAACTTATGGAGGGGAGTGTATTTACCTTATATTTTGTCGTATCTATGCAGGTGCTGTGCTATACTTTGAATTCTCGACAATGGAGCAGACACGTGACAGTTTCCAAGCGATCGTTGACCAGATGGATGACATCATTGAATCTGCAGCTGAGACTAGAGAAGTATTAGAGGCAAGCCTTGATACTGAGGAAGAGGCAGCGATAGACTTAGGGGCGAACTATATCCAGATTAAGGAGGTCAGAATATACAACGTTTTCTCTTAATTTGTTCTAACCACTGGCGGATCCAGGGGGAGTAAATTAGTGGGCCTTCTTGGCCTTGATTTTTTTTATTCCAGGCCAAATTTTAAAAATGGGTCTTAATTTTTCTAAATTTCAATGCAGTTAATAAAATTACATTAAGTCTTAGATGTTGAGGTTGAGACATTATGGAAACATTTCTAATCATATCTGAAAAGATCCGCTTAGTTGTCAATTTGGCCTTGGACGGCGGCTTGGCGTCGTTGTCATCTCTCTAAATTTTGTCAGCGCATTTCCAAACAGACCGTTTAATGGCATTGGGTTGATAAATGAATTGTCAAGGTTATTTCATGTTATGAAAATCTAACACTGATCACCATAACCAATTGTGAATATGCTAATGTAGGCAAATATGAAAAGCGCAAATGGAATCTTGGAAAATTATGTTCAATTTTCAGGAAAGAAGGAAGAGACTGTGTATGTAATTTTAACTTTTTTAGGGTTTCGTGAACAGCAGCGCTTTTATGAATGAAATAAAGACGTATTCAGGCGATTACTACAGCCAGAGCATAACAGATCTACCAAGTTATACGGACGAGAACATTAACGACGAGAACATCATTGCTTCCCAAGACGAATATATCGACTGGCTTATAGAACAAGAGGAACATTTACAGGTAGAATATGATATGATATGATGAAGACTCGTTCTGGGTTTAAAAAGATGCATAACATGATTCAAGTTCTGTTCGGGTATAAGCAATTAAAAAGACTTATAATAAGATCACTACATAAACATGAATTATCAATTTTGGAAGGCGATCATATGTAGGCAAGGACTAGTTAATCATTAAAGTCTCAGTTACATTTGCTCTACGGCGCGCGTGTGGCGCGTACGGCGACCGTAGATCAAATGCGACCGAGGCATTAACATTGTATACCTTTTATTTTCAGTCGTTGTTTGATCGTCTATCCGCACTGAAATTAATCGAACAAATGCTCGCCATCGAGGCTTACCAAACACCCATCTACAGCTTGGTTGCAGTTGGACAATCACACGATACCACCTTGACGAGGGAGACTGTTATTCAACTGATTGCGGACACAAAGACGAATGTTAATGTTTGGCCCGACTTTACCGAAACTTTTCAGTTCATTATGGTTGATCTAACAGCATACCGCGACTGATTGCTAATTTGAGAGAAATATCAACTATTTTGCACAACCACGTATGGCTTAGTTTGACTAGCGTTCAATTTGGAATCTCATCCGGAGCTTAATCCACTCCTTAATAGTCATAGAAGAGTATGAAAACATTAACTATTACGATTATGGCTCAACTTTTGACATTTGTAATACTAACATTTCAAACCCTAAGTTATTGGTTATTATAATTTTGAAAAGGACATGAAATTCGAAATGATATACGTTAATGGTTGTTCATATTTTCATATGGAATATGTATTACTAATGTATATTCATGTTATACTATCAAACTAGAATACAACTAATACAACTACATTTTTGTTTTGAGTGTTTATATCTGCTCCGAAAGAATTCAAACCTTATTGAATTCTGGAATATTTTTTACAGTTGTGGTGTTAGTTTGCCTCCTTTTGCCTACAATCGAGCCAGGCCACAAGAAATGGGTTCTTATCACAGATTTTTTTCAATATTCTGATCTTTTGTTTATCTTAAAAAGCACAAAGAGACCTTTCAAATGAGCCATGGCTTGTGGCTTAACAATTCTTCCTTTCATACAGGGTGGGCCAATAAAAATTTGAACATTTTTATTTTTATTCAATTTTCTATATTATTGCAGTTCAGTCCACAAAAATCCAGATAATGGTAAAATGATTATTTGTGATAATGTTAAATATAAAAATATGTATGTGTGATTAATTTCGGCGTGTCATGGTCATGATCTGTATACTGTGTGCGTCATGAAAAATTACCAAATTTACTCTGCTTGAGACATCATTGCTGAAGATACAGTATCTCATACCATACAATATATGCCCTTCAAATGGTCTCAACACGATTTTTATCAATAAAAACATATGCAGTTATCTCTAGGAGAAGCTAGACATGTCTACCTTGGATAATATAGTTTAACTGACCTCAGCTTTTTTCAAAACTGGCACAATATGTCTCAAACCTATCATTTAAGCCAAGCAAGACCGTCAAATACTGCTCAGACTGATTTTTTCAGATGGGTGGAGGACATGTTCAGTAATTAAATGTTGAGCTTGTATATTCATTTTTACAGAAGCTGTTGACAATGAATTGTTTTTCAATTTTCTAATGTATTGGAGATAATACATTACTAACAAAAAAGTTACAATCGATGGAAAATTGTTAAATTTTTTACTCAATGCGAGGGTTTCCTGAACTTGTCCTCCACCCACTTGAAAAATCAGTCTGCGCTGTATTTGACAGTCATCCATGGCTTTAATGATACATGTAGGTCTTGGGACATATTGTGCCAGTTTTGAAAAAGAGCTGAGGTCAGTTAAGCTATATCATTCACGGGAGACATGTCTTGCTTCTCCTAGAGATAACTACCTATAGTTTTAATTGATGGAAATTGTGTTGAGACCATTTGAAGGGCATGTATTGTATGGTATGAGATACTGTATTTTCAGCAATGATGTCTCACGCAGAGAAAATTTGGAATTTTTTCATGACACACGCAGAATACAGATCATGACCATGACAAGCCAAAAATAATCATACACACATATTCTTATCTTTAACATTTTCACAATTGAATAAAAAGAAAAATGTTCCAATTTTTATTGGCCCGACCTGTATATTGACCAAAAAGTCTGATTTGAAGTAAGCAGATTTTCCTCTTAATCTTGGTCACATTTTTGGCTGTGTAGCACAATTTACATTTTATGTGATATGACCAGTTGTCCTATGGCCGTGAAATGAGCAAATAGTGAGGTACATGAATTTTGCACCGACGGTTTAGACATTTTGAAAAAGCAGTCTGCCACGTTTATGTTTTATTCAAAATGCAGATTTCTAAAACCATTGAAGATTTTGTATACCCTTCCTAGTTAGAGTTAAAAAAGACCAGTGAATCGAACATGAATGCGCCTTATCTTGACCTTCTCATTAACACTGAACAAGACAACAGTATATATTGTAAGTTGCATGATGAACGAGATGATTCCAACTTTGTTATTTTGAATTTTCCCCATTTAGACAGTAATATTCCATTAAACCCAGCATATGGGGTCTATGTATCCCAGCTTATTAGATATGGCAGGGCATGCTCTAAATATTTAGATTTTAAGTCAAGACACAATACTTTAGTGATCAAACTGTTAGGTCAAGGTTATACTTGTATAAAGCTTAAGAAATACTTTCTCGGCTTTTCTGAAAATACAAATCATTAATTTTGAAGTTTCAAGTTTTACCACTTGAGATGCTGAAAGATGTAGGAATTGTTTAAGACATTGGAGCTGGACTCACAATTTTTCAATTGGCACCTTTTGAGGTGGATCCCGGCTATGACATTAATGGTTGAGAAATAGGGATCGAAACCAGCCATAGTTTTCTCCTGATGACCATTGTAAACTATTGTGTTTTATGGATTATGGCGATGGCTTTTGTGAATGGATGTTGACCCTTTGCAACGCCTATGGACTTGGAGACTGGATTTTATCTATTCCACATCATTTGAGACTGAATGCTCTATCTTGTATGAGAACTTGTATCTACAACTATTTTTGATGTTATGAGTATTGGCTATCAATTTCGAATTTTTTCTTCAACATGTATTGTAATGACTTCAGTATGAATGAAATGCCCCTTGGTGTTCTGGTCTTGGATTGATCGGTTCTTGAATGGTGGGGAAAGGGGGTTTTAGATATAGTTTCTTTTCACGTTAGATCATGGTTTTGGGATATATGGGGTTTGTTTTTCTTGACTGGTATGCACTTAGAGTTTGCTTTTTCTTGCTAAGTTCCATTACAACTTTTGGTCATTTCCCTTTGGCACTTGTGCTTAGATATTTAAATGTGTTACGCTTTTTCAATAATGATAATGACGAGGCTTGATTAAATTGACAATAATAGATAATCTGAAACAGATCCATTCTGAATGATTTGGCGCGAGTGTATGCCTGCCTTTTTTACGGAAATGTGATTTCTATATATGTCAAAGTCGATACAATTTTTTTCACGCCATTAAATAATTCCTCAGTCTGTTCTAGAATATTCCACCATAATTGAGAACGCTATTCCATCATTAGAGGATTGGAACCTTTTAGGGTTACCCTGTAATTTAACATAATTTTGATAGAGATGATGTATTGGCCGCTAGCTGTTTAACAACATTGAAATCGGGAAAGAAGAAGAACGCATCACAGTGGGTATATATAGCATTTTGAGCCGTATTTGTGACCACTCTATGTGGCGTCACTATCCATTTGTATCCATTCCGGAACATGTTGCAAAGAAAAAAATTCCAGTGAAAAACATAAATGTTGTACAACGCTCTTTCAATTAATTGAATGCCAAAGTAGTACACACCCTTCAAAATTTGGAAATCCCCCTTTCTCATTGAAAAAAATTATAATCACTCTGTACACGCAGCATTATATAACCGTCTTTAGAAATAGGGAAGGGAATATGCGAAGATGCTTTAGGTTTATGTGAAATGTAAATTATAACTAAAGACAATCAAAAATAAGATTTTCGAACAAATGGAATTTGAACCAACGTAGTCAAGTGATAGCCTTACCACTAGACCATAAATGATGGATGGGGGAGGGGGTATATTCACTCTGATACAGCCCAATCTTTGGAAAATTCCCATTCCGTTCTGAGTGGGGAAGGGGAGGGGGGTCAGTCAAACCCTTGAAGAGTGCACTCTAGTCACCTTTTTGCGACATGTGTTTGACCTTGGAATTACATAGATTAATGCAATTTATCAATTTGGAATCTTTTTATATTTCATTTGTTTTGGTACATTTATAAATTATACGAACAATTAAATAAATCATCAGGAAAGAAAAAAGTTGGATCGTCCTTATTAAATAAATTTTAACTATTCAGATACTTCTCCAAGTCGGATTTAGGAGAATTCTTCGAGGTTTCACAGAACGAGTAGCCAGGGAACAGTTTTATGCCATTTCCTAGGAATGTTTCCAAAGCGGACACTTCAAGGCTAAGAATCTGAAACGCATCAAAGTTAATTACGTCTATAAAAACACATACTTATGAATAAGCAAAAAAATAACACTTACACAAATGTTTATTGGTGATATTTAAGATACACTCGAGAGTTCAAATATTAAAAAAAACGCGCAAATCCCAATTCGTTACTATGTACTTTTTATATGACATTTCCGAGCTTTAAAATGTAGCAAGTATTTAAAAAGTAAAGCCTTTGTATAGAAAACGAACTTTTGAGAAAACGCTAGAAAATAAAAGATCTTGAAAATTATTTTATTTTAATAAAAAAAGAATGGCAACAATATAAATGCTGGCGATGAAACGTTTGAGAAATCCGAAGTTTTTCTCAAAATCACGTTAAATAGTGTCAGAGGTAACGCAGTACTTTAAGAATTTTGAGAAAAAAGGAAGATATTTGTAGACATGCTTAGATGTCTAAAACATTGAAAAACATTTTTATTTTGTATTTATCACAGGCTGGTATCGAAATATTTGTCCGCTGTGACGGAGCATGCTATTTTTCATAAAAACACTAAGAATACTTCACGATTTATTTTTTAACTCATATGTTTCGTTATACAATACAAAATTACTTACTCCATGCAATGGATATATCATTTGCGGGTAACTTTCACTTCTGTTTGTAGTCCAATTACGCTGGTAAGAAAATCTATTGAAAATGGCGCCGGAGTATCATACTTCAAAATGTACCATTTCTTGTTTAACTTTCTAATGGCACGATATAGTGAAACGATAAAATTTACACATGGTTTCAGCATAACTATGAAGGTATAAATGAGATGTTGATTTATTTGGTCTTTTTAATTCTTTTATAAAAAATAATGTTTAATTTTTTTGTCCGCTGTGACGGAGCAGTTGCAAATGTGAACTGTGAAAATGCTCCGTCACAGCGGACAAAAAATATTAATATTATTTTTTATAAAAAAATTAAAAAGACCCAATGCATTAATATCTCATTAATGCATTCAGAGTTATGCTGAAAACATGTGTTAATATTATCGTGTCACTATATCATGCCATTAAAAAGTTAAAAAAGAAATGGTACATTTTAGAGTTTTATACTCTGGTGCCGTTTTCAATAGATTTTACTCCTAGCGTTATTGGACTTCAAACAGAAGTGAAGGTTACACGCAAATGATATATCAATTGCATGGAGCAAGTAATTATCTTTGATATAACGAAACATATGAGTTAAAAAGCGGACAAATCTTTCGATACCAGCCTGTGTTTATAATGTTAGAAAATCATTTTGAGATGAGTTGTATAACTTACCGTACTTGTTTCGGTATTCTCCCCATAATATGCAAAAGAGCCAATGAAATCATCAGGATCGTCATAGGGATACTTATGAGTTTTCTTCACACAACACCCTGCTGTCCAGAAATATCTGAAAAAAGTGGTATCAATGTTTAACTGATCTCATTTTGGGGGTAAATGTCATCTATCGAACCATTGGAAGGCCTAATACTAAGTTCAGAAACATGATTCAGAATATGTTAGGGTTGAATGGTATTTTCTTAAATTCTGACTTGTTCATTTTGTTAAATGTCATAGATGAGCTTGAATCTTTATCAGTTTGTATTCTTATATATTCCTGTTTCGGTAAGAGATACAGGGAGTTAAAAAAACGCAACCAAAAGAAATCGCTATATCTTGGAAAATACTAACTCAATTGTGTTCATATTTTTAGGAAAGAAAGAAGAGTTGCATTTTTTAACACCCTGTATATGACAACCCCAATGTTACATGGTCTCGCTTGTCTTGATTTACGATCCTGGCTTTCACAAGTCAGGAATGGCAAAAGACAATTACCTTGGTACCTTTACACCATTCAGTGAACCAAAACTCGAATCACCTTTAGTACCTATTTAAGTAGCAAATATAGATATGTAAATTTCGTTAGTAGTAGCTGGTTATTGAACAATTTATTACCGATTTCGATAAGGTTTGGAAGAATAGGCAAACCAATAGATTTAGGCCCGTAGCCAGGTTTTGCCAAGATGCAGATTGTAATTTGCCCAAGTGCTTGCGGGTAACGCACAGTGCGGATGTCACGCAAGCGTTTTATAAACCGAGCCGTGTTGAGTATTCGATTATATTCAGATATAAAGGGTGATGCCTCACAACATGGAGATTAAGAAAGTAATTGTGTATTTTCTAATACCGCTAAGCATTACACCTCTCTTTAACGCATACAATTTTAAATTACTGCTTGTATAAACATATTTTGCAACCTTTATTCAGTATTGGTGATCAATATAATATGTTGATTCTAAATATATTTGCCTCTTGGTCCTTGGATGTCATAAAGTGATTTTATGAAAAATTGAGAAACTTTATTGGATGTGTGCTTGTGGAGGAGAGCATTGATAAACAGGGGACTGTGTGATTTGATGATATCGTGATTTCATGTGTCACGAATGAACTTGAATCAGAGCAGAAAGTTTAACCAAACGGATTCTAGCACTATTATTAATTGTATTTGGGTAGAAAGTGAGATTACGTGAGTTGCTATTAATGAAATACACAACGATCAATCAATATACGATTGAACTGTAACATTAACATGCTTCAACGCTAAACCAAAGAGGAACTTTCAGTTAAGATAAATGGAGGGTGTACATGGGTGAATCCAGAAGCTAACAGGAGGGGGGGGGGCTTTTCAAGTCATGGAAAAATGTTTTGGCCCGGAAACCCAAAATTGGGCCTCAATTTTAAAATGTAAAGTGGTGTACTACTATACATTATTTTATGATATAAAATTTATTTACTTTATAATACGGAATCAGGGTTGTAACGTCAGATAATGAGACCTACCAGTTATAAGGTACAATTGCCCTGAAGCTGTTTTGCATACGTTTGAAAAATACTCTCTGGTGTATCGTTCATATTTTGCCCATTTGGATGCTCCACCGAACGTATGTATCTAAAACGCATGCGCATATATGACTTGGTAGTGTATACTCTGTAAATTATATTCAGGATATCTAGTTTTTCAACATGATATCATTTACTTTCCGGTGAATAAAACTAAAACTTTTCAAAATAATTAAATTTCAAATTTCTATCTTTTATTTTTTCGAATCAAAAACTTAATTTAATACATTTTCTTGACTAAAAGTTTTGATTCCAGTTTTTAAAACCTCTCGTTTTCGTAAAGGAGCACCCTTTAGGAAATCGAACATGTCTCAAAGCACATTCTAATTATGCATTCAACAATATAATAAAATATATATGCATTTTTGGTGAAAATTAGGTCAACACTTTTGAAAAAGTATGTTGATTGGTCCATTGCCCCTTCAATATCACTTAGGTCTGATTAACTAAATTATCATTTTATGTACTTTTCTTGAAGATGATGAATGGATCTAAAAGATACACCCATGTTCATGATCAGAAAATATTCATAATTCAAGTTAGAATCGTTTGACATTGTTTGCGATAACCTAACACGCTCCTTTCATTTGTTTCTAAAAATGGTAAAAGACGGCGATTTGTTTGCGTAAAGTATCGGGGGCGTTTTTCATTCATTTAGCTTATGTTTCTCATCTGAAAACATCAACACACTTTAAATAATTTCATTGACTATAATATTGCACCATATAATCCCGAAAAATTAAGATTCAAATGTATGAATAGTGTAGGTATATTGAGTGAAAGTTGAAACAAGATCGACTGAGAAACAAAGATAAGACAAATTTTGCAAGAACTTTATGAACGCCATGTATAAGCTACAGAAAGTTAAAATCAATGATAAATACATCACTATTTTGCAAAATAATCTGCAAATTTGTTAAGCCTTGCCTGTGGTGCTGCATTGGTTAACGTGAAAGTCGCAGACTGCTCTTTTAGGTCACAGTTGTTAATTGCACTTGGATTGAGATGCCCCCTGCCCATGCCGCTTGAGTGCAGAATGTAGTCATCGGGAACCGCTTGTTGTGTGCATGACAGCTCTTCAAATAGTTATATATATACTGACACATTGTGCTATTGTGTGCTGTTTGGTTTTGCTCTAGTATTAAAGTTTTTTGCTGCTTCATACCATGACACACCACATGTATTATTCAGTCCGTATAATAGATTCAAGATGCTAGACTAAATTCTGTTTTTTGTGTTAAATCCAACGACATCTTTTATTAAAGACTTACAATATACTACACGATGTGCATATAAAATATTATTTTCAGCATTTCTTGTGTTAAAATCTTTATGCACCGAGTAAGTACTAACATCAATTTTAGCGAATGCGCATAAATATAGTTGTACCAGTACATGTTGAGAGAGAAAAAAATTATTAATAGTACATAGAGATAATACATAAATAATAAACCAACTTAAGATCTAGCAAATGGAACAAACTTCTATCCCAATACATACAGTTTTTTACACTTCCGCGATTAATTGGTTCTTTTTCATTTTTATTTTCCATTTCTAATTCGGAAATTTGAAGCATATTTTAATCATAAATGGTTCATCATATGTCATATCCACATACATATACGAAAAAGGGATGCAATTTTTGAATTTCCCTTGCAATTTAAAGTATACTAACTAGTTCTCGCAGATTTCCTCACCTCTGTTTTTCCTCCAATATAAAGGTCGCTTAGATGATGAACATATATTTGTCACTTTGTAGGCGGACCAATGGGGTATCTTACGACTGGTATCATATAATGTCGCAAAATAGTATTTAGTTGGCGACTTTTCGTTATGACCCTATAATACATACATTTTTCAAGCATGATTCTTTTACATAATATCCCTCATATTTTCCACTTTCGTTATGGCCCTTTAAAATAGCATTGTTCAAGCATGATTCTTTTACATAATGCTGTCATATTTTCCACTTTCGTTATGGCCCTATAAAACATACATTGTTCAAGCATGATTCTTTTACATAATTCTCCCTCATAGTTTCCACTTTCGTTATGGCCCTATAACGTATGCGTTGCTCTACGCACGGTCCTTCTACAAACATAATATATTCCTGATATTTTCATACTGTTCAGGTTTGCTTTCCTTGCGTTTACATTGTATGATAGGAAATTTTCGCAATGGATCTGTCTATCTATTATCTTAGTTTTCGCGTACGTACATAGCTTTGGCAATATTCAATTTTTTCGTGAATCGTCATGCATAACACTATGTGTACAATGTTTTTATCTCTTATATCTTATGTCCATTAATTCTCTTAATTGTGTGAAAGATCCAGCTTTTTTTCCGATGAAGTAAAAGAGTTATTCCGTTCAGTTGGGGTAACATTTTTGGGACACCTGGTATATAGTCACACCCTACCTGACATATTTTCTTGTGATTGGTGGATTCACCAGGTGCGAATGTCGGAAGCTTCTCGGCAATGAAGAATTGCTTACATTGTCTAAAAATATTTATGACGTAGCTGACATACTTTAGATTTAATAAAAGAAAAATTGTTCATAAAGGAGGAGGGAAATTAGCGCAACAGATTTTGGACAGTCATATGTTGGATTTTGGCCATTTTCTGAGGATTTAAACAATTGCATATGTTAGGCCAATGCATTACCTCCAGAAAAATCACTACTAGAGATGATAAAATAATTTCGACTTTGAGACAGGGTAGATGCAAACAACCCACCCACATGTTTTTTCTGAAATGTTTTCCTAATTTTGGACCCCTTCCACCCCTGCTTTTTAAATTTTTCTTGCATCAATATGTTGCATTTTGACACATAGTTAACCACTTAAAGGGAATAAGTGATTCCTTCAGGGGTTTTAAAGATACCCATTATGGGTGACCAAACTTAGCTGAAAGCAATGATTTTTCCAATGGGAAAATAACATGGGAAATATTGTTTTCCACTTTATCTAAAAGGACTCATTTATTCCTTTTAAGGGATTAACTTTGTGCCAAAACACAACACATTGATGCAAGAAAAATTAAAAAAGCAAGGATGGAAGGGGTTGAAAATTAGGAAAACATTTCAGAAAAAACATGTGGGTGGGTTGTTTGCATCTACCCTGTCTCAAAGTCGAAATTATTTTATCATCTCTAGAAGTGATTTTCCTGGAGGTAATGCATTGGCCTAACATATGCACCTGTTTAAATCCCCAGGAAATGGCCAAAATCAAACATATGACTGTCCAAAATCTGTTGCGCTAACTTCCCTCCTCACTTGGCAGATAATACACAATTAAGATCTATCTATAACGAGACATGTATACAAACAAATACTCTGTCAGTGTCTCGATGATGGACAATGGACAATCAAAATCAAAAATGAAATTAGTCAGTTTTTATGCTATTGTTAAGGCTCAGCTGGAAAGTAACATTTTGGTAAAAAATTGCTATACCTGCACATTACAAAATTAAGTATGAAGGCATGTGTGTATTTGCTTGCTTTTTTCAGGAAAGTATCATAACATTGTCTTCTTTTAGTAAACCTGTAAACAGGTCAATGGTAGCTCCTGTGTTGTCTGGAAACTTTGAAAGAAAATTTTGAAAAATAGGAAGTGTGAAATATCAGAATTTCCTGGAGTTCTCATTGAAACCCTACCATATATTCTAAAAGAAGACAATGTAATGATACTTTCCTAAAAAAACAAGGAAATTGACACATGCCTTCATACTTTATTTTGTACCAGAAAATAACATGTGCAGGTATAGCAATGTTTTACCAAAATGTTATTTTCCAGCTGTACCTTTAATTATGGAATATCACTTTGTGTTACATAAAATCATTTTTGTTCCAGCTATTTCAAAAGTCATGAGATATTAGATAAACTTCTCGGGAAATTTCACAAAGCGTTTTGTTTATATGATGCCTGGGTCACATTTGCTGCGGTTCATCGGCCGGCGACCGGTCGATTGAGTATTTTGTTCAAAATTGAAAACATTTCTGAACAAAATAGTACTCAATCGGCCGGGTGCCGTAGTGAAAATCGGAACAAATTTGACCAAGGCATTAGTAGTATGCAATACTAATGCCTGGGTCACATTTTCTCCAATCCATCGACCGGCGCCCGGCCAATTGAGTTCAATATCGTATTCAATTTTGAACAAAATACCCAATCGCCCGGGCGCCGTGGTGAGAATCAGAGCAAATGTGACCAAGGCATAACACAATTCATGGCATAATAATATATAAGAATAGTCAATGTGGTTTGATGATTTCCAGGTAACTTACGAAAATGCGCCATCACTGTCCATTGACCCTTTTCCCTCATTGGGTTCTTCAGTTCCTGCATCTGGTGTACATTTAGAAAATCCCTGAAATATAGATCTTAAGGTTCAGTTGGAAAGTAACATTTTGGTAAAAAATTGCTATACCTGCACATGTTATTTTCTGGTACAAAATTAAGTATGAAGGCATGTGTGTATTTCCTTGCTTTTTTCAGGAAAGTATCATTACACTGTCTTCTTTAAGAATATCTGGTAGGCGTTTAATGGGAACTACAGGAAATTCTAATATTTCACACTTTGTTTGGAAAACAATGCAAATCTCATTTTTTCAAAGGAAAAAAAATTGAAATTCTAATACGGTGAAAAATCATTAAAAAATACACAGATTCAGAATCCGGCAAGCATTTTCCCTTATTCCTCTCCGTTAAGAAGTTTTGTAAGGTGTTGGATCCCTTTAATGCCGACTCTTCAAATGTTGAGGTGATTTTGGAGCCCGATTGCGCCGCAATGTGGATTGGCTCCCAGAATGCAACATGACACGTGTCAGCTTTCAAAATGCCGTTCCGCCATTTTGAAATCTGTCACGAGTAAATAAGGTTACCTGATGTTGCATTCTGGGAGTCAATCCTCCTTGGGATTTATCCATCATTTGCAGGTAAGAAGCTTTGGATTCATTGATTGTGCTACTTAAAAAGAATGGAAATTATTTTTGTACCTCTTGGGAGAGTTCAGGACACGAAAATTAGAATTTAGCTCATTGTGACAATTTTTGAGGGTTGAGATTTATTTTTGTCCCCCACTTTACTTAGAACCGTTTGGGGTCTATTTACCAACTTCATCGATCGTACTCGAATGGGTAGGTCCTCTAGAACGTACTACGAACGGAACCGTCGTACTTCAATCCTACCAGGGACGTTTTTACAACGAGTTGAACTGTCTGAGGACGTATTGAGAACGAGGTAGAACTAATTGCAAACGGTAAAACTGATTAAGAACGTATTAATCAACGAGTTAGCAAAAATATAGCTATCACACCAAGCAAGTTGCCACTGCGTTCTTCAAAACTGGTTTTAAACTGTGTGCGAACGGAATGAATGTAGCTACAACGTTCTACGGTCTGTTTACGAACTTCATGGACTCTTTCCCGGACGAAAAATGTGATTTAGGATTCAAAATTCGATGGCGACCATACCGTTCTGTAATCAGGTCATGATGACCTTCTAGACTAAGGGACGGTTATACGACGTTGCACACCGACGTGGTGCGACCTGAACGAACTGTGAATGAAATGGACGTATTGAAGACTGTTTATGAACGAAGTAGCTAATTATTTTAGACATATTTTCCGACCACAGCCAGATTGAGCCCGTTTTACGACGTTTTCGTAGGACTGGCAAGAACGGGTAAGAACTAGTTTGGTGTGATAGGGGGTAATTATTGTAGTAAATATTCACAATTCCTCCAGGACGTAAATAAAAAAACAAAAACTTACTTGACAAATATTCAAAGTCTTTAGATGTTTGTAGCTATTTTCAGCCCGTTCATTTGTCAAATCCGCGATATTTTCTTTCGAAATAAATGCGCCATCGTCGACGAATACAGAACAACGTCCCTGGAAATTATATGAAACAAAACTTGACAAATTTTACAACTCGGGTTTGAATTCTGTTCTTAAATATTTTAAAATATTTTAAATCACCTCAGTTCAGCTCAATTTCCTCTACATAAGTGAATATTTTTAACATTATAACATGTAATCATACAACAATTAATTGGTTATTTACATTTGTATCTATATATTCATGTTCCCGATTAAATCATAGTAAATACCCATAGCTATATGTAATGCTATATTATGAGCTGGTATACACATCAGTAATTACACCTCATCATTACACTTTCATTATATGACTACGTAGGAATATGATAAATTGAATAGGCACCCCACCGTGTCAATGTCAGTTTCAGAGCATCGTTTGCAATATCTATGTAGCTCTTCAAAAGCCAAGTCTCTGTGCATATAATTCCCGATGTTTATATCATAATGTCCACTCAAGTTTGGTATCACTCTGTAACTGTTTTCTGAAAAGTCAAATACAGTTAGAATCGATTGATTTTTTTAATATCACGCACGATTTGCAAGTATAATTCTCATATAACTTCATTCTCGCCATTAGATAAATATCAGTTTCCTCAACAGATTATAATGAACGTTATTACTATTTTAGTAATATGAAATTCAATCGCCACTCTCCTAGCAAATTTTTGAGCGCGACTGTATTTTTGCTCAAACCTTATACTATTATTGTATGTTCGGAAAAATCGATCTGTATAGATGATTGAATACAGTTTTGCAATATGAAGCTATGTCTATACAATATGGCATAACATAAATGTGAAAATAAGTAATAACTGAACTTTTAATGCATTTTATATAGAAAGTATTACATACCAGCATCTGAACATACTTCTGTGAAATTGTACCCCGCAAAGATAACAGGTTTCGCCCTTTTCTCGGGATTGCCGTTCAGCCCACGCCGGAGTCGACCTGAAATATCCGATATCAAACATGTTAATGTGTTGTAATGACAAACATGTATTGTAATGACTTCAGTATGAATGAAATGTCCCTTGGTGTTCTGGTCCTTGATTGTGATATTGGTTCTCGATTGGAGGGGGAGGGGGATGTTAGACATTGTTTCTTTTCACGTTAGATTATGGTTTTGGGATATGTATGGTCTACTTTTCTTATGACAGATTTACACTTACAGTTTGCTTTTCTTGTTGGGTTTCTTTAAAGTTTTTAGTCACCCTTCCCTTTGTGCTTATATATTAATAAAAGGGTGTTAACTAAAAACGTGTTTAAAAACAGTCAATTTTCTATGTAGATTTCAAAATTGATATCATACCTTGGTTACATTTTGATAGATCATAACAAAACTGAAGATCATTTTTATTTGCAGCTATTGTATTGATAGGTTCTACAATACTGGTAAGGCGATCTAAAATATCGTTTAGTAGTTAAAGCTATTGATATCATTGACTAATCGACTAATCAAAATCTAGTGTTCCAAATAAGGTCTTAATAATTACTCAACCGTGAAACATACTTTCTCTAGAAAGTAAGAGTTTGTTTGCTATAACATACTCAGGACGAATATGTCCAAGATCGTGGTATCCTCTTCAATGGATGGATGCATGAATGGGCTAATAGGATATTGTTTCATCAACAGTAGATCATTTATAACTAATGTGTACAACAGATATGAAATAAAAAATAATGTATTGTGCATCTCGAAACGCTTCGTAAAATATAAAGGTAATGCAAAATATCAAAAATTACCAAATGACATTTAATAAAAATGACTTTGAAAACTACTAATCTGTGTCAATGAAGGACTACACATAAATACATCGATTTAAAAGTATAACAGCTTTAATTAACGTTTGTATAAACTTTAGAAATTATTATCTTTCTGGTATCAATAGGTTTCAACATGGTACACTGTATTCTAAATGGCAATGAAACAATGTCGACTTTGATTGGTACATGTTTATCGGCACATTTTATTTGTGTAGTGTTTGAACAAGGCAATACAAATATGTGTATTAATATGTCTTTTTGCGATGTCATTTAATTTAATTGGATAGATTTCTATAGGGATATAAAATATGAAAATATTAACATATTAAAGGATGATAACGGAAAGCTATGAACTCGATGGGCAATATCTACATACATATCTAGTACAACAAAATTGTAAAATGAGAAATTAGGATTTGAAAAAAGAGTATTGTTACAGAGCATACCGTATTAACATTCGCAAAGATGTAAACCCAACGAGCTTAACTGGCAGACATAGCTTCTAAAGCAATGTAGTAATGCAAAGTAGTTACATGCTGGTACACAACCAGTTACAATCATAAACAAACATCTCAAAAATGGTCAACCATACATAGAACTAGTGTCATGCAACCCCATTCCGCTCCCCATTACTACGCAACGGCCGTTAGAACAATCCAAATCAATGTGAAATATAATTTAGATGTATACCAATGAGCAAATGATTTTCGTCTTTATGAGTAAAAGGTGGCTCCAAATTTAAAACATTTTGGAACATTATGATTTCAAAATAAAAAAAACATTACATCTACCTGCAGCAATCTCCGTGTCAATCCTAAAAAATACACAGTAGACATTGTTCTTTAAATTAATATTGTAAAAAATTTATTTGGTATAGGATGATTTGACCAACAAGGCATAGACGTTTAAAACCTCAAAAACATTTCTCAAAACCAAATGTAACTTAATCATGAAAAATTAAAAAAATGTAAAAACAAGTAACAAAACATTTCCTCATTTTATAACGCAAGGTTAGAATATAGTGTATTTGATACACGTCTCACGCAAATGACTTGAAACAAAAAAATGTTTGAATACATTAAGACATTCATTTACGTACTTAACCTTCCAGTTTTCAAAATCATTGAGTGTCCCTTTGTATATAATATAATACTCCCTCCCAAGTGGACGGTATAGGATCGTTGGAGTTTCATCAACATTCACCCGGAAGTCAGCCATGTTGATCTGCCGTACTATCAATTCTGGGTGTCCTGTGGCTCTCGCTTCAAGTCGGCCAAACAATGAAGACGAAGCCCCGCAGCAACCTAAAATAGATGCACGATGAGAATAAAAACAGAAAAGTTTTCATAACTTCAAAACCCCAAAAATTTGTCAATAAAAACAAAATGTACTGTGACTTGAAATTTAAATCACCAGCTGGGTATTACCTGCTTGTGGACAGAACTTAAGCAGTAGGGCGTGGGTTCCTGGCTGCGAATCAATAACTGCAGTGAATGCTGACGAGGAAGAAAGCACAGTTGGTTCCGGATCACCTGCACCTGTAAGACAGCATAATAGTCAAATAACGACGGCATAATTCTAAATAAGGTACAATAGTCTACAATATATATTTCACAAAACTCTAGTCTAAATACCCTCAAAACCTCAAAATCCTAGATAGAACAATATTCTAACTATCGCAAATTAGATGATACGTCTAGAAAACACGGAAACAATCATCTACATGCGATATCAAAACTGGTTATAATTTTTCAATGGACAAGTGAAAATCTTTGTCAGCATTTGCAAGCATATAACAAGTATGCCCAACATAGAAAATAATATATAAATATGAATAAGCTTCACTTATAAATGAAATACACCAATGCATCAACAGGAAGTTACCATTAGAAAGTGTGTTTATAATTTAGAAAAGAACGATTACAAACACAAAGGGAACTTTCTGATGCCAAACTTTTGGCGGGAAAATCACATCTTGTTAAATACATTTGGTGGGAAATTTACCTTTGGTCAAAAATACGTCTGTGCAGCCATTTATGGTTATCTGTTGGGCTTTGGCCACGGCGCATATTTCATCAAATGTTGTCTTCGTAACTCTTACACCGCAGTGACCTTTCTTACTCTTTGGCCCCCAGCCTATGGTGCACGCTCCGTTATAAAGTCCAAAAACTTCATCCACACCATTGTTTGTTTGGTATATCGAGGTACCTTGCGTTTCAGTGGTCAGTGTAGGACATTTGAAAGGAATCCAACGATCGTTGACACTATTCAGATTGTTTCCGAGTGTCTCAAGACTAGAGCATCCTGCGTATTCCTTTGTAGTTGTCTTCAGCTTAACTTGAAGTTGTTCAATAGAATATGAACTGCACTTGAGCTTTGTTGTAGGAGTCGACTGCTGATCAGTGATCATAACTAATGCCATATCGTAGTTCGGGTGGTACGTTTTGCTCCAATATTTCGAAACATGTACAGCGGTTTTTGTTTTGCCAATTTCAAGGTCGTTGACTTTAAGATAGCGATATGGTTTCTTGAGGTTCCGGTCATAGACACACGAGGCCGCTGTTAGTATAGCGTTCTTAGCTATGAGAGTCCCACTGCAGATCTTAGGGACTTCTCCTACCTGTTTAAATGACAATTCCTCGGTTGAATGCTATTGTGATTGTAGAGTAGATTGTTGTTTTACTTTTTAAACAAAATATAAAAAAATATCGGATCATTTTTAGTGATCATTTTTATCGATGAGTTGATATCAATTGATATTTCAGAGGCAATAACATGATATCACTAGAAATAATCTGATATTGGGTTTATTCCATAATAATTAAAGATTATAAAAAATTCAACTTCGTATATCATTCGAACATTCGGCTGATGGACGATCTTCTAGAAATATCACAAATATCATCATACTATCAGAAATATCATTGGGTGTTATTGTACTGATTACCCAATAATCTTGAGATAATAAAAATTTAATAGAGGCGTGAACTATTTGATGAAGATGACGTCATTTAATTAATATCTAAAAGTATTATCGAAATTACATCATTGACGTTAGAACCAAAAATTACGAAAAAGCCACTTTTGCAAGAATACACTGCCAATCTCACACAGCATCAAACAGCGCTGTTTATGAAGCAGTGCTGGACAGTGCTGTAAAAACAGTAATGTACGCAGCCGTCTTCTAAAACAGTGCTGTACAGCACTGTAAAACAGTACTGCACTCTGCTGTTCAAAACAGGTGATGCTAGAATAGCCTTGTACATCGCTATAGGTACGTTCACACCAACGGCGAATGCCACGCTTTAAATCGGCGAGCAAAGCGCCGTCATTTTTGTCATTTTTCTTCATACCAACGGCGCTTTGATGGCGCTTTAAAGCGGCTTGTAAAGCGGCACCAAAGCGTAACAAAGTTTGATTAAAGCGTCGGGGTCGTAATTGGTCGTAGAAAAGTTCAGAGTAAAACGGGATATTCGGCAAGAGCGCTAAAAAATTTTAAACTCTTAAAAAATTTTGGGCGCTCTGTTACGAATCGATTAAGCGCCGAGAGCGTATCAAAGCTTAAAAAAACCGTAACAAAGCTCAGAAAAACTTGATCCAAAGCGCAGGAAAGCTTAACATAGCTCTAAAAGGTTCCTCACGCTTTGATCCCGCTTTGATCAGGCTTTGTTACGCTTGAAATCACGCTTTGGAAAGCTTTGATAAGCATTATTACGTTTTGATGCGATTATGACGCTTTAAAGCAGGCTCTGATACGATTGCAAAACTCTGTTGTGCATTGTTGCGCTCTGTTAAGCTCTGTCACGCATTGGAAAATGTCGAGATCGCCGATTCCATGCCGCTTTTGATCCAATGACTATATAAAGATGCAGTAGATCCATAAAACCATTGCATCTTTGACTCGAAAACACGATGGCAGAACAACGAGATCCAGAAATTCCAGATGGACCAGAGCATGACCTATCTGAAGAAGACATGACGTTTGTCGCACGGCGTGATATAGCGTGTGAAAACTTTCAAGCGTAACAAAGCCTAGCAAAGCGTTTCAATCCTTGATTAAAGCGTCTCAATTCGTTGGAAAGCTTGAGAGTCCCTCAGGAAAGTGTAACAAAGAGTGTCAGATATTGATGAAAGCGTCTGACCTCGTGTCAGATCTTCATGCCAGATCGTAGCAAATCTTGAGACATCTTAACGAAGCGTGTCAAGTGGTAACAGACCGTGAATAGACTGGGGTCCCCGCTTTGAACCAAGCTGTGTTAAGCTTTCCTACGCTTTGAGTCAAGCTTTGTTGAGCTTTGTTACGGTTTGTTAAGGTTTGATACGCTCTCGGCGCTTCAATCAATTCGTAACAGAGCGCCCAAAATTTTTAAACAGTTTAACATTTTTTGGCGCTCTTGCCGAATATTCCGCTTTACTCCGAACTTTTCTACGACCTATTACGATCCCGACGCTTTAATCAAGCTTTGTTACGCTTTGGTGCCGCTTTACAATCCGCTTTAAAGCGCCATCAAAGCGCCGTTGGTGCGAACGCTTAAACAGTTTAAATTTTTTAGCGCTCTTGCCGAATATCCCGCTTTACTCCCGAGCTTTTCTACGACCTATTACGACCCCGACGCTTTAATTAAGCTTTGTTACGCTTTGGTGCCGCTTTACAAGCCGCTTTAAAGCGCCATTAAAGCGCCGTTGGTGTGAACGTACCATATACAGTGCAGTGCTCGAACTACAATGTTCAGTAAAGTTTACGGCGGCGCTGTACAGAGCTGCAAGATTATGTTGCGGATTTGGGGTGTATACCCGACTGTAAACAGATTAGAAGACAGTTTTGAAAAGACTGAAACAATATCCCTACCTTGTTGTAGTTGGAGATAATGTTAAAAACAGTTGGAGCACCACAAGTGCTTTCCCAGAATAATACCCAAATAAGGCAAGAGACAGCTGTTTTCGGGATTCCCATCATTTATCACTTCAGCTAAAACAAATGTACATTGTATTTTTTAAATTGCCCCGCTTCTTATTTCCGATCACTAGTATGTTGACTTAAAGTGCCGGTATATTGTTTTTATCAACTTAATGTAACTTAGTTTTGTGAGAATGTGCATGTATACTTAACATACTATTTAAAAAGAATATAAATCGATTAGAAGTGGTAAATAACAAATGATTAAATCAAAAGAACTCCATTCGAGTTTCCATTATTTGTATAACGAGATTATATCTGTTATTCAATACAATAATTGCATTTGAAAACATGTACCCTCTGTAAAGAAAAAGGGTGCATGGTCCTTTATCAGTCTAACATTTTCAAAATGTTGTATTATGTTACTAAACTCTTAAACATGGCGTAAATATTGTTAATAACTGGTGGAAATCTTAAAAAATTAGAGGAAAATTTTAAAACGTTAACAATGGTTAAATATATATGATATCACAAACTCACAAATGTGACATTTTCCTTTAAATTACGTCATAAATTACAATTTTTACAGTGTAATACATTTTTCCTCTAAACCTAGGATATCATTTTCTATATGTTATATTCTTCATACCATTGTAAAGCCCGTCCCGAATTGATCATAACTGACAGGTTTTAATTAATCATTGACACACTGACAGAAAATAAAGGAACTGCCAAAACCCGCCTAAAACTTGATTTGTAGACAATTTTACGCCTCAAATAGCGGTAAAATTAGAGATAGGATGTAACCATTTTGCTCAATAAACACATTTAACATGACATCTGACATAAATTTTGGTATGCATTAGCTACGTTAAGGATACAAAACATATTTTTGGGTCATTGAGAAAGAATAAGGGTTATCATTATCTTAAAATTTCCAATTTATTATATGTGTTACCCCTACCCCTAATTTTGAACCAAGAAGAGACCTCTGAATCAGAAAGATACTACCTCACATTTTATCACCAAATGGTTGTAATTAATCGGACTTTCATTATATAACAGATATTTTTTACAAAGTTTAATTGGATTGAACACTTTTTAAAATGGAGTATTCCTCTAAATAACTAATAATAATTTAACTTCATGATCCAAACGATCCCCTTGGGTATAGCATTTATGGTAAAAAGTCACACTCTTGATTTTGGGGCGGTCGTTCTATTCAATCCTTCTTATTCTATTCAATCTAACTTTTTACATATTTACGAAATTCTTTGAAATTTTCACCATTTGGTTGAAGTACATGTACATTATACCTCTGAATGTTTGGTATGATAAAAACGAAAAATAAAAAAGATATGATTGGTAAAGGATAGTGCACCTTTTTTCTTCACAGAGGACACGGTATTAACGTGTATATATTCAATACAGACGAAAAAATTATACCTTTACAGTTTAGTCGTTACTATGTTTTTATAGGTTTTATCGAACGTTTGTACAAATCAACACAGTAGAGAGGTTTCGCAAAACGAATTAGCTAAAACGTATCCGCATCCGTATCTTGTTACGTTTACGGATACGTATTTCGATAATTTTCGTTTCGCAGTTCGTTTTTTGAAGTACGTAATTATAAACGCATCTCAAACTGTGTTTAATAGTAGTGAAAACTAGGGTCAAATAAAAGACTTCATCTGCAATAAGATTTCAAAACACCATTGGGAGTGTCAGCGTTCAGAATCACAACTCCAAAAGTATTTTTGGTGAGTGCAAAAACACATATTAACCCTTTCATCCCTAAGGTGTCATTTATTAATTTCATGACATCAATTTCAAAAATATCCTTTAGGGCAGAAAAGATTATTTCTAGGTTTACAATAACTAATTCAGTGTCAAATTATACTTTTGGGAATATTTAAAGGTTTGAAAACAGATAGGCTGAATAGTGGTCATTAAGTGACGTACAGTGACTGCATAATGCCACAAAATGCGTAAACATTTCTAAAATCACTTGTCATACTGCACATGGACCTTTAATTTCATGTTCTTGCAGCTGTATAGTTTGGTAATAATTCAAGATCAAATAAATAAAAAATGCGACTTGGGCAAGGCCAAGGCATTCGGAAACCACACGTTTTCACATGAGCCACCCCCTTTCCTCATACATGAGCTTTAGTTAAAAACCCATGCCTCATATTTTTTTTTCATCAAGAGATTTTATTGCCATTAATCATTAAAAGTACATATCATACATGAGGGACCCAATCGCCAGTGGCATTATAGGTGTCCCTCAATGTAGTAATTACAATTCGTAAACATGGTTTTAATACACAATTATATATTAGAAAAAATAGAAAAGAAAGCATCTGCATTTTAATTGGAGTGTGGGGGGCTGCTGCCTCTGCCTATAGGGTCCTGGAAACAAAGATATAGTAGTATGAGTAGGGAAAAGAGGTTCACGCCATAGTCTCCCATGGCTAAATGGCTGATCTGTACTTTCTATGTGGCACAAAGAAGACTTCATGGTGCTACAGTATAATGTAAGTGAATGAAACAATGGGAGAAAAGCAGTAGAGATAAGGAGTGGTAGGGCTGAGAACAAAAGTAGACCAGCTTCCAACTACATGTAACTATGCATGCTCAATAAGATATAGGCTCACCACTGATAAAAGATTGTCAATTTGTTCCTGAGTAAGTGAAGGGTGAGCAAATAAGTAAAGATTTATTTTGTCCATTTGGGTCCTGAACTGAGATTGGTTTCCAGTGATTAGTTCAATATCCCTATTAAATTTAAGAATTTGTTCAGTTTTCAATGGGCATTTAAAAAACAAATGGCGGAAAGTCTCAGGGGCTCCGCATTCGCAGTTTGGAGAGTCAACAGTTGTCCAGTTGTGGGCCTTGAGTTGTGATTTGAGAATGAGATCTGATCTGGCACGATTTAGAAAAATTTCTTGTTTCCTTGAGAGTTTTAAGGTCATTGTTGAGATTGTGCCTTGGAAGAGTAATTTTTTCAGGTTGTACTTGAATGATGCTATACTTGGTAATGATTTTAGCTCTCTTGGAATTTTATTCCATATATTCATCATATTATAAACAGGTGATTTCCTTAGCATTGTGATTGGTATACTATAGTCCAGTGTACCTCGCAACATTCTATTGTTTATCTTTTTAAAAGGATGAAATATGTCGCTAATGTATGATGGAGTATTTTGATTAAATATATTGTACATTTGCTTTTTGAAATGAAAAATTCTTCTTTCATTTAGACTTGACAAGTTTAGCAAATCAAGGACTTTCTTTGCATTAGATCCTGGTAAGCAACCAGAGACAATCAATGAAGCTTGGTATTGGAGCTTGTCCAGTCTCTTTAGATTGGCCTGTGTTGCACAGTGATAGAGTATGTCACAGTAATCGAAAAGTGATTGGATATAAGAATTGTACATGATGTTGAGCTGTTTAGGTTTAAGTTTGCTTTTGAGTGGTTTCATTGGATTTAGAGCTTTTTGAATTTTGTCAACAAGATAGTTTATATGTTCAGAGCCGCTGAGTTTACTGTCAAAGTAGAAGCCTAGATGTTTATGCTGATTATGCCTAGATATTGGCTGATCATTCAAAAACACTTGTTCATAATTATGGGTGTTTTTCTTAGAAAAAATGACTTCTTTACTTTTTTCAGGTTTGAAATCTAACTTCCAGGATTTAGACCACTGTTCAATGGTCTTCAGGTCATTTTGTAGCAGTTGATGAGATTCTCTATCATTTGGAGTACATGGGACAAAAATAGATGTATCGTCAGCGTAAATAAAACATTTTGAGGTCAGGTTGTCTGGGAGATCATTGATATAAATCAGGAAGAGCAAAGGTCCGAGGATACTTCCTTGAGGGACTGAGGTGTTTATGTAGTTGTCTGGTGATGCTGAAGAGGATGATCCGTTAATAGTAACCCTAACTTTTCTATTAGTTAAATATGATTCGATAAATTTTAAGAGATTTCCTGAGATACCATAAGATTTAAGTTTATGAATAAGCAAGTTATGCGGAACCTTGTCGAACGCAGCCGAAATGTCAAGGAAATTTGCTCTAGTGTCGAAGTTATTGCTAAAATTGGTCCATAAAAGATTTTGAATGGCTAAAAGCTGAATTTCATTACTGTGCCCTTTAAGAAAACCAGACTGGTATTTGTAAAGTAAATTATTTTGGTCAAAGTGAGCGTACATTCGATTATAAACAACCCTTTCAAGAATTTTTGATATTATCGACAAAAGTGAAATTGGTCGGTAATTCTTGATGTCATTCTTACTATTTTTTTTGAAGATAGGGCAAATATCGCCCAGTTTCCATATATCTGGAAAAGTATGTTTTCCTAAAATCTTATTGAATAAAATACAAAGTGGGACTACAATTGAATCAGGGCACATTTGGATCATTTTGATTGTGATACCATCTGGTCCACTTGCTTTGGATGGATCACGATTTTTTATTATTAATAGGATTTCATTTGATTCACATTCAACTGAATCAAGTTTCAGATCACATCTGGAGGGGAATTGTGGAGGCTGTTCATTTGTAGGTGAAGTGGAATGATACATATTAACAAAGTACTTGAGGAACTCATCAGCTTTTTCTTGGTTTGATATACATGTCTTTCTTGTTTGGATATTTTCAATTGTGGGGATAGATGAGTTAAAACATTTTCCAAGTAGCTTCTTAACAAGATCCCAAAAAGGTCTGCCAGCATTCGTTTGCCCATTTAAATAGTCTATTTGAGTCTGATAGTAGCTATCTCTTGTTTGCAATATAATATTCTTTGTAGTTACAGAGTGCTCTTTATATGCATTATAATTTTCAGCAGATGGATTTTTTTTCAATTTACGATAAAGTGATCTTTTTTGCTGCAAAACATGGGCTATTTCATCAGAGTACCAGGCTTTATCATTAGCTTTAATTCGTTTTAATTTATTTGGAATATGCTGTTTAAAGATTGAAAGAATTTTATCTGTGAAATTTTTTGTCATGGAATGGATGTCATGATTTTCATTAAAAAAGTTAATCCAAACAGTATGTGATATTTCATA